ATGATCGCGACCAACATGATCAAGGATGTGCGAGTCCCTCTCAAGTCGGGTGGAGCAACTACATGTCGAGGATGTCAACAAGGGAAAATGGTCCAAAAACCATTTCCAAGCAACCGAGACAAGCGCAGCTACGATAAGTTTGAGCTGCTTCATCTGGACATCTGCGGGCCCATGGAAAAGGATTCGCTCGGTGGCAGCAAATATTTGCTGCTGATCATCGACGAAGCCAGTGGATGCATGAAGGGCTTTTGTCTACGAGTGAAGTCCGAGAGTGAAGACTACATCCGGAAATATATCACCATGGTACAGACGCAATTCTGTAAGAAGGTCAAGTTCGTGCGACATTCGGGTGTCAGACATACATACTGACGCCTAAAGAGAATCGACTCAAGTGGGATCCAAAGGCTCGCACTGGCATGTTCGTGGGCTACGAAGAATTTTCGAAGGCGTATCGTGTTTATGACATCGAGGCGGGGCAGGTGGTTATCAGCCGCGATGTCAACTTCGACGAGTCCACCTTTGGACTTCAACTGCCGATCACTGATGAAGATGTCGATGACCTGGACTTCGAATTGCTGGATCTTGATGACGAAGAGCTGCGGCAAATGGAGTACAAGCAAACAGGCAAGCGCAAGAACCGACTCAATGATGAAGATACAGCAGCTCCACGACCGCGTGCAGTGCGTCAACGACCAGGACTAGAAGAGTCAAGCGCGCCGGAAAACAACTCGTCACGCCAAGAAGAAGACGAAGAAACGAAGGATTCTGGTGATTCAACACCGCCTGTGTTTTGGCTTGCGAGTGCAAATGCCGTTGAAACAGCAGCAAACTTATCAGAGCCCTCAACATTTGAAGCAGCAGTAGCGGCCCTTACCAAGTGCACTGGAGAAAAGCAATTCATGCAGAGCTCGAGTCAATGGGCCTTCGCGGTGTGTTTCGTGCAGCCAAGCTGCCCAACGGACAACGCGCCATTGGCACAAAATGGGTGTTCAAGATCAAGCGCAAGGCGGATAAGTCAATCGAGAAGTACAAGGCACGACTTGTGGCCAAGGGTTTTCGCCAAAAACATGGCATCGACTACACGGAGACGTTTTCGCCTGTGGTCAAGTATGTGACGCTGCGACTGGTGATCGCAATTTCCAAGCATTTTGGATGGCACATCGACCAGCTTGATGTGATGGCGGCTTTCCTGTATGGCGTCATGAAGGAACAAGTGTTCTGCGTGATTCCTGAAGGCGTCGAACCTGACAGTACGTTCGACTGCCTGGAATTGGTGAAGTCAATTTACGGCCTCAAGCAAGCGTCGCGAGTGTGGAACGAGACGTTCGACGAGTATGTGTGCTCCATCGGATTTCAAGTATCGGACTTCTACCCATGTCTCTACATCAAGACTTCGGACGGCCATTGCGTGTTTATACTGGTCTACGTGGACGACGTCTTGGTGACTGGAAGCTCGCTCGAGCTGATTGCACAAACCAAGAACGACCTGAAGACGCGGTTCGAAATGACGGACAGCGGCAAGTGTGCGTTTGTTCTTGGGATCGAGCTTTTGGACGGTGAAGATGGCATTGTGACACTATGTCAGCGCCGGTATGTCGATGATATCCTCAAGCGCTTTGGCATGGATGATTTCAAGGCAGTCGCAAGTCCAGTCGACATGAGCTCTCGACTTGTTTCAAGTGATGCAACTACCAAGGTCGATGCTCCTTTTCGCGAAGCTGTTGGTGCGTTGATGCACCTGACCACTGCAACGCGTCCGGACATTGCGTTTGCTGTGGGCTATGTGTCGCGGTTCATGGAAAATCCCCAAGAAGAACACTGGGTTGCAGTTGAGCGTATCTTTCGCTACCTACAAGGCACCAAGACGCATGGAATTTGCTACAAGCCAAGTGCAAGGATCGACTTCCGTGGATATTCGGATGCGGATTGGGCTGGTGATCTTACCTACCGCAAGTCAACATCGGGGTACACGTTCATGCTACTCGGTGCGCCAGTGAGTTGGGGCAGCAAGAAGCAGCCAAGTGTTTCGTTGTCCACGACTGAAGCCGAATACATCGCACTCAGCTTGGCGATTCAAGAGGGCAAGTGGATTCATCGTCTGCTTTGTGAGATCGTGATGGCTGCCAATGAAGAAGGACCGGAACTCATGATTCATGAAGACAATCAGTCATGTATCAAGATGACGAAGAACCCGGTCAACCACGGCCGTGCCAAGCACATTGATATCAAGTACCATCACATCCGTGATGAGGTCAAGCGCGGTGAAGTGAAGCTCAAGTACTGTGAAACAGCGGTGATGTTAGCGGACATCATGACGAACGGACTTCATGGACCACGCCAACAGGAGATGACGACGGCTCTCGGGATTCGTGAGCATTCGGATTGAGGGGGCGTGTTGACGGTCATCGGTTTCTACCAGTGTTGGTAACCGTGACCGGTCCAATCCGAACCGCCTGTTCAGCTTAGTATTTACGACGTAGTTCTTACGGTAATTACCACAGTTGATTAGACGCGTAGGATGATGAGACGCTTCACATGATTTATATGTGCAGCACATCTAAATCATGTAGTAAGTAGTAAGCCCCGATAATCAATCACTTTCGAATCTTCCAACTATTGGGCAAGTGTTTTCTGCTCTACTCTCTTCGGTCTCTCCGCTCCGTTAGCTCCGCTTTCCTCGCTCCGATCTACAATGCAACAAGTATGACCAACGGACTTCACGGACCGCGCCACAAGGACTTAACGGCGCCGCTAGGCATCTGTTCGCATTCGGATTGAGAGGGCGTATTGACGGTCATCGGTTTTCTACCAGTCATGCTAATCGTGACCGGTTCAATCCGAACCGCCTGCTTGTTAAAGTCTGAAGAGCACTGGACGAGAGAACGAAGCTTGAAGCACGCTGAAGAAGTCTGCACTGCGAAGTGTAGACGACTTGTGCTGAAGAAGGAATATTTGGAAGTGAATTTATTTGTGGGTTTTGTTCAAGCTACCTGATTTATCTCTGCACTGATTTATATGTTGTCCACATACAAATCATGAATCATAAATCATGTAGGTCATCCAATCATCCTATGCGTCTAATCATTGGTAAAAACTCACCGTAATTACGCGGGATCGACTTGGACAGGTTTACGGTTCCCATGGTAGCTGATAGCAGTACCTCAACCGTCAACCCACAATACGCCCCCTCAATGCGAACACGCGTGTATGCCGAGCGCTGCCGTCAAGTCCTTGTGACGCGGTCCTGGCAGTCCCTTCGTCATGATGTCCGCCAACATGATCGTAGTCTCACAGTACTCCAACTTGACATCACCACGCTTGACTTCATCACGAATGTGGTGGTACTTGATGTCGATGTGCTTGGCCCGACCATGGTTCACCGGATTCTTCGTCATCTTGATGCACGACTGGTTGTCTTCCATGATCTTGAGCTCGGGTCCAGACTTGTCCTCTGCGGCATCCAGAATCTCGCACAGTAATCGATGCACCCACTTGACTTCTTGAATCGCCAGACTTAGTGCAATGTACTCAGCTTCACTTGTTGACAGCGACACACTTGACTGCTTTTTGCTTCCCCAGCTCACCGGAGCACCCATCAGGATAAACGCATATCCTGAAGTCGACTTGCGGTCTGCATGGTCGCCGGCCCAGTCTGCATCCGAGTAGCCACAGAAGTCTATCTTGTCATCAGGCTTGAAGCAGATACCGTGCGACTTAGTCCCTTGTAAGTATCGCAAAATGCGCTCGACCGCCATCCAATGCTCGACTTGGGGGTTCTCCATGAAGCGCGAAACGTAACTCACAGCAAAGGCAATGTCTGGTCGTGTCGCGGTCATCAAGTGCATCAGAGCGCCTACTGCTTCACGAAACGGGGCGTCGATTTTAGTTGCTGCGGTACTTGGTATGAGTCGAGAACTGATGTCGGTTGGGCTGGTGACGGCTTTGCAGTCGCTCATGCCAAAACACTTGAGAACATCTTCCACGTAGCGTCGCTGGCACATCGTCACGCTACCGTCGTCGTTGTCCACCAGCTCGATGCCCAACACGAATGCGCACTTCCCACTGTCGGTCATTTCGAAACGCGCCTTTAAGTCACTCTTGGTGCGCATAATCAGTTCGGTTGAGCTGCCAGTCACCAACACATCATCGACGTATACCAGCAAAAGCACTCACTCGCCACTTGTAATCTTGAGATAAAGACACGGGTCAAAATCGGAGACTTGAAATCCAATGGAGCAGACGAACTCATGAAAAGTCTCGTTCCATACGCGCGATGCTTGTTTTAGTCCGTGGATCGCCTTGACCAGTTCAAAGCAGTCAAAGTCTTCATCAACTTCGACTCCTTCTGGGATCGCGCAAAATACCTTTTCCTTCATTTCTCCGTAAAGGAAAGCTGTCACCACGTCCAGTTGGTCCAGTGTCCAGCCAAAGTACTTCGTGATTGCAACCACCATGCGCAGCGTCACGTACTTGACTACCGGCGAAAACGTTTCCGTGTAGTCGATGCCATATTTCTGCTTGAACCCTTTTGCCACGAGGCGCGCCTTCTATTTCTCGATGGATCCATCAGCTTTCCGTTTGATCTTGAATACCCACTTGGTGCCAATGGTATGCTGTCCAGACGGCAGTTTGGTCGCTCGAAACACGCCACGAAGTTTCATCGAGTCCAACTCGGCACAGATTGCCTTACGCCAATGCACTTGATCTGGTCTGATGAACTTTAGACTTCTTGGTCCGAGTGCAAAACGCAAAGTGAATATATATTTATAATAGGTACTTAGTTCGCAACTTTGAATACTACCTCTAAGCCTATTATTCGCAGTGACGTCACCCACTGACGTCATGCAATGACGTCACCCACTGACGTCATGCAATGACGTCATCCAATGACGTCATTTCCTGACTTCGCCCTTACTGGTACATACCGGTACCCACCGGTATAGCGAAGCTTGGTCTTCCACTTGCTTCAACACTTGACGCAGCTTGACGAGGTGTCTTCTTCACAGCCGCTGTCTTTTCAACACTCCCTCTCGACTCGTTAGCTGCGGCACCTGGATCCCAAGTCGATCGCGAATGTTTTCAAATTGTACAGCGGCGATCGGCTTGGTCATCATGTCTGCCAGCATATCTTGAGTCGGGCAATACTCCAAAACGACTTCACCTGATTCCACCTTCTCACGCACAAAATGGTAGCGTATGTCGATGTGTTTTGTTCTCTTATGGAACTCCGGGTTCTTGGCGAGAGCGATTGATCCTTGGTTGTCTTCATACATCTTGATCGCTTCGTCGCTTGTCATCTCACCAAGTTCCCCAAAAGCACCTTGAGCCATACTGCTTCTTTGGTTGCTTCGGAAAGCGCCATGTATTCTGCTTCTGTTGAAGATAGCGCGACCGTCCGTTGTTTCTGGCTTTTCCAGCTGATGCATCCTCCGTTCATCATGAACACATAGCCGCTTGTACTTCGTCTTGACTCAATGTCGCCGGCCCAGTCTGCGTCGGTGTACCCGCAGATACGGCTTCCTTCTTCACGTGTAAACTCAAGACCATGATTGGGCGTTGCTTGCAGGTATCTCAGCACACGCTTCAAAGCTTGCCAGTGAGTCGGGCATGGGTCGGACGAGAACTGGGATAATGATCCCACTGCAGCAGCTAGATCCGGACGTGTGGCGACCATGAGATACATGATGCCTCCGACAGCACTTCGATATGGCACGTTGCACATGGTGTCTTCGTGCTTGCATTCTTGTTCACACATGTTCTTGGTTAGCTTCAGGCCGGGATCTTGAGGCGTCTTCACTGGCTTGCTGTTATCCATTCCGAACTTGGTCAACACGGACTTGAGAAACTTGGTTTGTTGCACAGTCACCATTCCCGTCTTACGGTCGTTCTTGATCTCCATGCCGAGAAAGTAATCGAGCTCACCGAGACCCGTCATTTCGAAGCGTTTGCTCAGCGCCATCTTGGTCGACTTGAGGAGTTCGTTGTTGCTGCTGGCCAGGATGAGATCATCGACGTAGAGCACCACGAGAATCATGTCTTGGTCGTCTCGCTTGATGTAGATGCAGTGGTCCGATTCGCACTTCTTGAATCCCATCTTGATCATGAACCCATCGATTGTTTGGTTCCACATGCGAGGCGATTGCTTCAAGCCGTAGAGTGATCTCTTTAGCTTGCACACATAGTCCGGCTGTGTTGCATCCAGGTATCCGTCCGGCTGGTCCATGTAGATGTCTTCGTTGAGGGAGCCGTTAAGAAACGCTGTCTTGACGTCCATCTGATGTAGCATTAGGCCGTACTTTGCCGCCATACTGAGCACCACACGAATCGATGTGAACTTGGCCACCGGTGCGAAAGTTTCTTCATAGTCAACTCCGAATTTCTGTGAGAATCCTTTGGCCACAAGTCTTGCCTTGCAACTTCGCCATCTTGATTCTCCTTTACACGAAAAACCCATCGGCACCCGATGGCCTTGCGACCTTTCGGAAGAGGCACGATTTCCCACGTGTCGTTTCTCTGAAGCGAGTCGAACTCCGAGTCACACGCTTCTTTCCCCTTGCCGGAGTCGCTTGATTCCATCGCCGACTTGAATGTAGTCGGCGTTTCCTCCACTGAATCAACGATGTAGGCTGCTTCAAAATCCATTGCAGCCGCTGACACATGCTCAAGCGACGGACCTCTGTACGTTCTTCGCTTGGGACTTGGAATGAAGGTAGCTTTCTCAAGTGATTGAGTGCGCGTGTGTCTCTTGATGTTGCTCTTCGAAGACCTGGTGTCTTCGTTGTCATCGTCGCTCGAGTCCATGTCGACGTCAGTTTTACCTTCTTCTTTTTCTTCGTCCTCGTCTTGATCATCAAACTCAACGGCACTTGACTCATCGTTGTAGTTGCGCGGACCTTCATCAAACTTGTCTTCCATGAATGTGGCATCACGACTGATCTTGATCGCTCCTGTTGACACTTCCTCAAATCGATATGACTTCTGGTGTTCGGCGTATCCCAGGAAACGACAGAGTGATGACTTGGAGTCGAACTTCGCGCGTTTGTCTTGAGGCACTTGAACATACGCGTGGCATCCAAACACTTTAAGGTTGGCTAGAATCGGTTTCTTCATCGTCCACACTTGATATGGAGACTTGTCTTGGTGAATGGCACGTGTTGGACAGCGGTTTCGAAGAAACACTAAGCCGTCATCACTGCTTCACCCCAGTAGCTCTTTCCCAGTCCAGCGTGTTCCATCATGCAACGCGCACACTCGACCAGCGTGCGATTCATTCTCTCAGCTACTCCGTTTAGCTGAGGAGTATATGGGGGTGTGAACCTTTGTTGTATTCCCCGTTCCGCGCAGAATCGTGCCAGCTTGTCGGACTTGTATTCACCCCCATTGTCGCTTTGAAGGTACTTCACGCGCTTTCCGGTTTGCGTTTCGGCCATCGCAGCGTATTCCATGAACTTCGCCGCAACTTCAGATTTGCTCTTGAGCAGATAGACGACACAGTATCTTGACTCGTCATCGATGAATGTCACGAAGTACCGTTTTCCACTGAAAGTTGCCATCGACATCGGTCCGCATACGTCGCTGTGAATCACTTCGAGGAGTTTGGAGGTGCGAGCTGTAGTGTTTGATTGGAAGCGCACTCGAGTCTGTTTTCCCAGAGCACAACCTTCACACACGTCCCACTTCTTCACCGAAGATATGTCGATGCCAATTCCAATGTTCTACGTCACGATGCAATTGAGTCCATCGTGACCTATGTGGCCAAGCCGAAGGTGCCAGAGGTACGACTTGGTGCCCCCTTGACATCCCGACGACTTGGCTGCATTTGCTTGTTCCGGCGCCACTGGAGTCATTTGCAGCTTGAACAGTCCCTTACCTTCACGGGCACCAATTTTCCACTTGGTCCCTTTCGCTTCTCCATAGCACCCATCCTTCGTGAACGTCACTGGGCCGACATCCTTGGTGAAGCGGCCGACCGAGAACAGGTTTCTGGATAACTTTGGGATGTGCCACACGTTTGTGAGCACACCTTTCTTCATCCCTTGGGGTGTCTTCATCGACATGACAATGTCCCCACTGCCGATTGCTTGGACGATTCCATCATCCGCGAGATGGACATCCACAGCGTCAAACCCCTTGTAGTTCCGCATGAACTTCTTGGAGCACGTCATGTGCTGCGTCGCCCCGGAGTCGACCAGCCAGATGTCGCTCGATTTCGCAGATGTCGTTTCACCGATCGAAAAGAGGTAGTCGCCCGAGTCTTCTTCTTGAGTGACGTTTGCACGTTGTGATCGATAGCGGTCGCCGCTGTCTTGAGCACGCTGTGGCCGGTGTCTCTCCGTGTTTTCTTGGATGCGCGAGGGGCACTCCGCCATCCAGTGACCAATCTTTCCGCAATTGTGGCACGGCCAGGACTTCTTCACTGGTCGCCCTTTGCGCTGATTGTCCCTTGTGATGAACGCTTGACCTTGCGAAGCTTCATCACCTTTACTTCCTTGCTCCTTCCGCTTCATTTCTTCATGAAGCAGTCGAAACGTCACGAGCTCCCAGCTAAGAGTGTCTGAGCGCGACTCCAAAGCTGTGATCAAGAATTGATACGAGTCACTCAGGCTGCCGAGAAGTGTGATCACCAGATCGTCCTCGCAGACTGGAGCCCCCACCGCTTCTAGCTGTTCCGCCAGCGTCTTGAGCTTGTTGATGTGTTCGAGCACATCGTCGCCTTCTTCCATCATTGTCGTGAAGAAGCGACGGCGCAAGAACAGCTTGTTGGCAAGACTCTTCTTCTCGAAGTGGTCTTCCAACCTTGACCATGCGTCGCATGCACCACTTGCCGACCGGACCAACGGTAGCTGGGAATCTTCCATGGCTAGACAGATCACTGCCATCGCCTTTCTTGACTTCCTCTTGTACGTCGCTTGGTCCAACTGAGTCTCGCACTGTTCCGCCTTGATCTCACCGCTGACGACCTCCCATAGGTCCCGTTCCTCCAGCACCATCTGCATCTTGAACTTCCAGGCGTGGAAGTTAGTTCCATCGAACTTGGAGATGCGGAGGGAGGAGGCGTCCATGGCAGCTAAGCTTGAATTGTTGGCGGTTTCAGAGTCTGACGAACTTGGGCTCATAACCTGATGAACTTTAGACTTCTTGGTCCGAGTGCAAAACGCAAAGTGAATATATATTTATAATAGGTACTTAGTTCGCAACTTTGAATACTACCTCTAAGCCTATTATTCGCACTGACGTCATCCACTGACGTCACCCACTGACGTCATGCAATGACGTCATCCAGTGACGTCATTTCCTGACTTCGCCCTTACTGGTACATACCGGTACCCACCGGTATAGCGAAGCTTGGTCTTCCACTTGCTTCAACACTTGACGCAGCTTGACGAGGTGTCTTCTTCACAGCCGCTGTCTTTTCAACATGGTCCACCAACAGCATCTCCAAACATTGTCGGCTCAGACAAGTCAGTACCTTCGACTGATTGGCACTCGCTCGCCAAAAGACTTGAGGTGTAGCATCCTCGTTATCTTCGTCACTGCCCTTTTGCTCTTCGTCCAGATTGTCTCGAGCGCTTGATCGTCGCTTCGCTTGGTGCGATTCAGAGTCATCCGGGGCACTTGCTTCTTCTAACCCGGTTCCACGACGCTCAAGAAGTGTCCGTTGTAGAACTTGTTCCTGACTGTTTGAACGGCTTTCGCGTTTTCCAGTTTGCTTGAACTGCATGGGGTGAGGCTCATCGCTGATGTTCATCGATTCGATATCCAGCGCAGTGTCATCAACAATTTCTTGTGGTAGCCTCGGCGAGAAACCAAGCGTTGATTCGTCGAATGTGACATCGCGAGATATCACCACTTGGTCCGCTTCAATGTCGTAAACGCGATATGCCTTTGACACTTCTTCGTACCCCATGAATAGTCCTTCACGAGCCTTTGGATCCCATTTCGATCTCTTTTCCTTAGGGGTCAGCACAAACGTTCGGCAGCCGAAAACCCGCATGTGCTTCACACTTGGTCGAAATCCGTTGACGATCTCGAACGGGGTTTGATCTTGGCACTTGGGCGATGGTAGGCGATTCTTGATGTAGATTGCCGTCATTGCTGCTTCAGCCCAAAAACACTTGTCCAGCTTGGCGTAGTGAAGCATGCTGTGCCCGATCGTCACAATAGTCCGAATTGCCCGTTCCGCCGTGCCGTTGGTCTGATGCGCATACGGAACGGTAACTTGCTGCTCGATTCCTTGATCATCGTAAAATGCCTTGAGCGAATTCGCCGCAAATTCTCGTGCACCATCGTGTCGAACGAACTTGACCTTGTAGTCAAACTGCGTCTGTACTGCCATGATGTACTTCTTGATGCACTCTTCGCTGTCGGACTTGGCGCGCAGACTGAAACCCTTCATACATCCGCTGCCTTCATCGACGATCAGTAGCAAGTACTTGCTTCCACCTAGCGAGTCGACTTCCATTGGACCACAAGTGTCGATGTGTAGAAGCTCAAACGGATCGTAGTGGCGCTTGTCTGGATTGCTCGGGAACGGTCGTTGAACCATTTTTCCTTCTAGACAACCTTGACACACGCTTGATCCGCTCAATTTTGCTGGCTTCTTGGCATCCTTGATCATGCCTTTGGAGACTATTCTGCACAAGACATCAATCAGTGCGTGGCCCATACGCGCATGAAGGTTTTCGACTCTTGGTCCTGAAGCCGCATTCACCGATCGTTGGGATGTACGAAGCCAGTAGAGGCCATCCACAAGATCGGCCATCGCTATTACTTGCTTGGAGCCTTTGTGCGAAATCTTCATCTCGTCACCATCAAACACCACTTGAAACTTGCCGCTTTTGTTGATTTGTGGTATCGAAAGCAAGTTTTTGTTCATGCTTGGGACGTAAAGCGCGTTCTTGATCTCGACTTCGCGCTCTTCACCGTTGGACAGGGTCACCTTTTCGATGATTGTCCCGACACCGTTGATCGCAGCCTTGTTCCCATCTGCAACCAACACTTCGCCTTCATTGCGCTCGTCCAGAACTTCGAACTTGGACTTGTCATAGCAGATGTGATGTGTTGCACCGCTGTCAATCGCCCACATTCCAGACATGCTCTTGGTCGTTGAAAGTCCGCATTCCAGCGAAACAGCAAACGCCACTCGATCATAGTCACAGTTGCTGTTGCCGTTGTAGCCTTGCCACTGAACTTGATTCGCTCCGCGTCCACGTGCATTGCCGTCGCGTCGAGCTCCCCGATTGTCTTCCTTCTGCTTGGTCCAGCACTTTTCCACCGTGTGCCCCAATTTTACGCAGAACGTACACTGACGAACCTCACGCTCGGTACTGAAGGCCTTGGTCGCTTCTTCAGTTTTCACCGATGTCGTCTTTTTCCCTTGTCTCTTGATGTGCTCATTCGTCAGCACTTTCACGACGTCTTGCGTCCGCAGTTCCGCGCTGCTCATCTCCAAGTTCAGCATGACGTTCTCGTAGCTCTTGGGGAGGCTGCACAACAAGCAGATCGCCACGTCCTCATCCTCCATCTTGGCGCCGATGCTGCTGAGCTTGGCGCTGATGTTGAGAACTTCATTGCAATGATGCATCACATTGCCGCCTTCCGCCATCTCCATGCTGAACAGCTGCCGCTTCAAGAAGATCCGTCCCGCCTTCTGCGATCCGCCGTAGAGAGTCTTCAACCGTGTCCACGCAACCCATGCCTCGTCGCAGTCATCAACCACGTGATGATAGTCCGCGCTCATGTGAAGTAACATCAAGCCGAACGCAATGTTGTTCGTCTTGACGTACTCATCACTGGCGCGAGGATCGGCGAAGGTGGGGGTGGTCTCCCGGTTGACCACGTGCCACGTCGACTTGGTCAGGAACACGCCACGCATGTAGCGGCTCCACGTCGCGTAGTTGTCTCCATCGAATCTATCGATAGAGATCATGGTGGCTGAATCTTGAGCAGAGGACATCGTGCTTGGGCTCATAACCTGTTAAAGTCTGAAGAGCACTGGACGAGAGAACGAAGCTTGAAGAACGCTCAAGAAGTCTGCACTGCGAAGTGTAGACGACTTGTGCTGAAGAAGGAATATTTGGAAGTGAATTTATTTGTGGGTTTTGTTCAAGCTACCTGATTTATCTCTGCACTGATTTATATGTTGTCCACATATAAATCATGAATCATAAATCATGTAGGTCATCCAATCATCCTATGCGTCTAATCATTGGTAAAAACTCACCGTAATTACGCGGGATCGACTTGGACAGGTTTACGGTTCCCATGGTAGCTGATAGCAGTACCTCAACCGTCAACCCACAATACGCCCCCTCAATGCGAACACGCGTGTATGCCGAGCGCTGCCGTCAAGTCCTTGTGACGCGGTCCTGGCAGTCCCTTCGTCATGATGTCCGCCAACATGATCGTAGTCTCACAGTACTCCAACTTGACATCACCACGCTTGACTTCATCACGAATGTGGTGGTACTTGATGTCGATGTGCTTGGCCCGACCATGGTTCACACGGATTCTTCGTCATCTTGATGCACGACTGGTTGTCTTCCATGATCTTGAGCTCGGGTCCAGACTTGTCCTCTGCTGTATCCAGAATCTCCGCACAGCAATCGATGCACCCACTTGCCTTCTTGAATCGCCAGACTTACTTTGTGCAATGTACTCAGCTTCACTTGTTGACAGCGACACACTTGACTGCTTTTTGCTTCCCCAGCTCACCGGAGCACCCATCAGGATAAACGCATATCCTGAAGTCGACTTGCGGTCTGCATGGTCGCCGGCCCAGTCTGCATCCGAGTAGCCACAGAAGTCTATCTTGTCATCAGGCTTGAAACAGATACCGTGCGACTTAGTCCCTTGTAAGTATCGCAAAATGCGCTTGACCGCCATCCAATGCTCGACTTGGGGGTTCTCCATGAAGCGCGAAACGTAACTCACCGCAAAGGCAATGTCCGGTCGTGTCGCGGTCATCAAGTGCATCAGAGCGCCTACTGCTTCACGAAACGGGGCGTCGATTTTAGTTGCTGCGGTACTTGGTATGAGTCTAGAACTGATGCCTGTTGGGCTGGTGACGGCTTTGCAGTCGCTTATGCCAAAACGCTTGAGAACATCTTCCACGTAGCGTCGCTGGCACATCATCACGCTACCGTTGTCGTTGTCCACCAGCTCGATGCCCAACACGAATGCGCACTTCCCACTGTCGGTCATTTCGAAACGCGTCTTTAAGTCACTCTTGGTGCGCATGATCAGTTCGATTGAGCTGCTAGTCACCAACACATCATCGACTTATACCAGCAAAAGCACGCACTCGCCACTTGTAATCTTGAGATAAAGACACGGGCCAAAATCGGAGACTTGAAATCCAATGGAGCAGACGAACTCATGAAAAGTCTCGTTCCATACGCGCGATGCTTGTTTTAGTCCGTGGATCGCCTTGACCAGTTCAAAGCAGTCAAAGTCTTCATCAACTTCGACTCCTTCTGGGATCGCGCAAAATACCTTTTCCTTCATTTCTCCGTAAAGGAAAGCTGTCACCACGTCCAGTTGGTCCAGTGTCCAGCCAAAGTACTTCGTGATTGCAACCACCATGCGCAGCGTCACGTACTTGACTACCGGCGAAAACGTTTCCGTGTAGTCGATGCCATATTTCTGCTTGAACCCTTTTGCCACGAGGCGCGCCTTGTATTTCTCGATGGATCCATCAGCTTTCCGTTTGATCTTGAATACCCACTTGGTGCCAATGGTATGCTGTCCAGATGGCAGTTTGGTCGCTCGAAACACGCCACGAAGTTTCATCGAGTCCAACTGGCACAGATTGCCTTACGCCAATGCACTTGATCTGGTCTGATGAACTTTAGACTTCTTGGTCCGAGTGCAAGTGGCAGGATCACAGACGAAGTTGCATCGAGTCCAACCTCTGAGCACAGATTGCGTGGCTTCCACTTGCTTCAAATTGACGCAGCTTGACGAGGTTTTTACTTTATCATGGTCCACCAACAGCATCTCCAAACGTTGTCGGCTCAGACAAGTCAGTACCTTCGACTGCGTTGGCACTCGCTCGCCAAAAGACTTGAGGTGTAGCATCCTCGTTATCTTCGTCACTGCCCTTTTGCTCTTCGTCCAGATTGTCTCGAGCGCTTGATCGTCGCTTCGCTTGGTGCGATTCAAAGTCATCCGGGGCACTTGCTTCTTCTAACCCGGTTCCACGACGCTCAGGAAGTGTCCGTTGTAGAACTTGTTCTTGACTGGTTGAACGGCGTTTGCGTTTTCCAGTTTGTTTGAACTGCATAGGGTGAGGCTCATCGCTGATGTTCATCGATTCGATATCCAGCGCAGTGTCATCAACCATTTCTTGTGGTAGCGTCGGCGAGAAACCAAGCGTTGATTCGTCGAATGTAAAATCGCGAGATATCACCACTTGATCCGCTTCAATGTCGTAAACGCGATATGCCTTTGACACTTCTTCGTACCCCATGAATAGTCCTTCACGGGCCTTCGGATCCCATTTCGATCTATTTTCCTTAGGGGTCAGCGCGAACGTTTGGCAGCCGAAAACCCGCATATGCTTCACACTTGGTCGAAATGCGTTGACGATCTCGAACGGGGTTTGATCTTGGCACGTAGGCGATGGTAGAAGATTCTTGATGTAGATCGCCGTCATTGCTGCTTCAGCCCAAAAACACTTGTCCAGCTTGGCGTAGTGAAGCATGCTGCGCCCGATCGTCACAATGGTCCGAATTGCCCGTTCCGCCGTGCCGTTGGTCTGATGCGCATACGGAACGGTAACCTGCTGCTCGATTCCTTGATCATCGTAAAATGCCTTGAGCGAATTCGCCGCAAATTCGCGTGCACCATCGTGTCGAACGAACTTGACCTTGTAGTTAAACTGCGTCTGTACTGCCATGATGTACTTCTTGATGCACTCTTCGCTGTCGGACTTGGCGCGCAGACTGAAACCCTTCATGCATCCGCTGCCTTCATCGACGATCAGTAGCAAGTACTTGCTTCCACCTAGCGAGTCGACTTCCATTGAACCACAAGTGTCGATGTGTAGAAGCTCAAACGGATCGTGGTGGCGCTTGTTTGGATTGCTTGGGAACGGTCGCTGAACCATTTTTCCTTCTAGACAACCTTGATACACGCTTGGTCCGCTCAATTTTGTTGGTATCTTGGCATCCTTGATCATGCCCTTGGAGACCATTCTGCACAAGACAATAACCGGTGCGTGGCCCATACGCACATGAAGGTTTTCGACTCTTAGTCCTGAAGCCGCATTCGCGGATCGCTGGGATGTACGAAGCCAGTAGAGGCCATCCACAAGATCGGCCATCGCCATTACTTGCTTGGAGCCTTTGTGCGAAATCTTCATCTCGTCACCATCAAACACAACTTGAAACTTGCCGCTTTTGTTGATTTTTTTGGTATCGAAAGCAAGTTCTTGTTCATGCTTGGGACGTAAAGCGCGTTCTTAATCTCGACTTCGCGCTCTTCACCGTTGGACAGGATCACCTTTTCGACGATTGTCCCGACACCGTTGATTGCAGCCTTGTTCCCATCTGCAACCAACACTTCACCTTCATTGCGCTCGTCCAGAACTTCGAACTTGGACTTGTCATAGCAGATGTGATGTGTTGCACCGCTGTCAATCGCCCACATTCCAGACATGCTCTTGGTCGTTGAAAGTCCGCATTCCAGCGAAACAGCAAACGCCACTCGATCATATTCATAGTTGTTGTTGCCGTTGTAGCCTTGCCACTGGACTTGATTCGCTCCGCGTCCACGGGCATTGCCGCCGCGTCGAGCTCCTCGGTTGTCTTCCTTCTGCTTGGTCCAGCACTTTTTTACCGTGTGCCCCAATTTTCCGCAGAACGTACACTGACGAGCCTCACGCTCGGTACTGAAGGCCTTGGTCGCTTCTTCAGTTTTCACCGATGTCGTATTGTTTCCTTGTCTCTTGATGTGCTCATTAGTCAGCACCTTCACGACGTCTTGCGTCCGCGGTTCCGTGCTGCTCATCTCCAAGTTCAGCACGACGTTCTCGTAGCTCTTGGGGAGGCTGCACAACAAGCAGATCGCCACGTCCTCATCCTCCATCTTGGCGCCGATGCTGCTGAGCTTGGCGCTGATGTTGAGAATTCCATTGCAATGATGTATTACATTGCCGCCTTCCGCCATCTCCATGCTGAACAGCTGTCGCTTCAAGAAGATCCGTCCCGTCTTCTGCGATCCGCCGTAGAGAGTCTTCAACCGTGTCCACGCAACCCATGCCTCATCGCAGTCATCAACCACGTGATGATAGTCCGCGCTCATGTGAAGTAACATCAAGCCAAACGCAATGTTGTTCGTCTTGACGTACTCATCACTGGCGCGAGGATCGGCGAAGGTGGGGGTGGTCTCCCGGTTGACCACGTGCCACGTCGACTTGGTCAGGAACACGCCACGCATGTAGCGGCTCCACGTCGCGTAGTTGTCTCCATCGAATCTATCGATAGAGATCTTAGTGGCGTAATCTTGAGCAGAGGACATCGTGCTTGGGCTCATAACCTGTTAAAGTCTGAAGAGCACTGGGCGAGAGAACGAAGCTGGAAGAACGCTGAAGAAGTCTGCACTGCGAAGTGTAGACGACTTGTGCTGAAGAAGGAATATTTGGAAGTGACTTTATTTGTGGGTTTGCTTAAGCTACCTGATTTATCTGTGTCCTGATTTATATGTTGTGCACATATAAATCGTGAATCATAAATCATGTAGATCATCCAATCATCCTATGCGTCCAATCATTGGTAAAAACTCACCGTAATTACGCGAGATCGACTTGGACAGGTTTACGGTTCCCATGGTAGCTGATAGCAGTACCTCAACCGTCAACCCACAATACCGCCCCTCAATGCGAACACGCGTGTATGCCGAGCGCTGCCGTCAAGTCCTTGTGACGCGGTCCTGGCAGTCCCTTGGTCATGATGTCCGCCAACATGATCGTAGTCTCACAGTACTCCAACTTGACATCACCACGCTTGACTTCATCACGAATGTGATGGTACTTGATGTCGATGTGCTTGGCCCGACCATGGTTCACAGGATTCTTCGTCATCTTGATGCACGATTGGTTATCTTCCATGATCTTGAGCTCGGGTCCAGACTTGTCCTCTGCGGCATCCAGAATCTCGCACAGCAGTCGATGCACCCACTTGCCTTCTCGAATCGCCAGACTTAGTGCAATGTACTCAGCTTCACTTGTTGACAGCGACACACTTGACTGCTTTTTGCTTCCCCAGCTCACCGGAGCACCCATCAGGATAAACGCATATCCTGAAGTCGACTTGCGGTCTGCATGGTCGCCGGCCCAGTCTGCATCCGAGTAGCCACAGAAGTCTATCTTGTCATCAGGCTTGAAGCAGATGCCGTGCGACTTAGTCCCTTGTAAGTATCGCAAAATGCGCTTGACCGCCATCCAATGCTCGACTTGGGGGTTCTCCATGAAGCGCGAAACGTAACTCACCGCAAAGGCAATGTCCGGTCGTGTCGCGGTCATCAAGTGCGTCAAAGCACCTACTGCTTCACGAAACGGGGCGTCGATTTCGGTTGATGCGGTGCTTGGTATGAGTCGAGAACTGATGTCTGTTGGGCTGGTGACGGCTTTGCAGTCGCGCATGCCAAAACGATTGAGAATATCTTCCACGTAGCGTCGCTGGCACATCGTCACGCTACCGTTGTCGTTGTCCACCAGCTCGATGCCCAACACGAATGCGCACTTCCCACTGTCGGTCATTTCGAAACGCGCCTTTAAGTCACTCTTGGTGCGCATGATCAGTTCGGTTGAGCTGCCAGTCACCAACACATCATCGACGTATACCAGCAAAAGCACGCACTCGCCACTTGCAATCTTGAGATAAAGACACGGGTCAAAATCGGAGACTTGAAATTTAATGGAGCAGACGAACTCATGAAAAGTCTCGTTCCATACGCGCGATGCTTGTTTTAGTCCGTAGATCGCCTTGACCAGTTCAAAGCAGTCAAAGTCTTCATCAACTTCGACTCCTTCTGGGATCGCGCAGAATACCTTTTCCTTCATCTCTCCGTACAGGAAAGCTGTCACCACGTCCAGTTGGTCCAGTGTCCAGCCAAAGTACTTCGTGATTACAACCACCATGCGCAGCGTCACGTACTTGACTACCGGCGAAAACGTTTCCGTGTAGTCGATGCCATATTTCTGCTTGAACCCTTTTGCCACGAGACGCGCCTTGTATTTCTCGATGGATCCATCAGCTTTCCGTTTGATCTTGAATACCCACTTGGTGCCAATGGTATGCTGTCCAGCTGGCAGTTTGGTCGCTCGAAACACGCCACGAAGTTTCATCTAGTCCAACTCGGCACAGTTTGCTTTATGCCAATGCACTTGATCTGGTCCACCAACAGCATCTTTAAACGTTGTCGGCTCAGACAAGTCAGTACCTTCGACTGCGTTGACACTCGCTCGCCAAAAGACTTGAGGTGTAGCATCCTCGTTATCTTCGTCACTGCCCTTTCGCTCTTCGTCCAGATTGTCTCGAGCGCTTGATCGTCGCTTCGCTTGGTGTGATTCAAAGTCATCCGGGGCACTTGCTTCTTCTAACCCGGTTCCACGACGCTCAGGAAGTGTCCGTTGTAGAACTTGTTCTTGACTGGTTGAACGGCGTTTGCGTTTTCCAGTTTGTTTGAACTGCATAGGGTGAGGCTCATCGCTGATGTTCATCGATTCGATATCCAGCGCAGTGTCATCAACCATTTCTTGTGGTAGCGTCGGCGAGAAACCAAACGTTGATTCGTCGAATGTAAAATCGCGAGATATCACCACTTGATCCGCTTCAATGTCGTAAACGCGATATGCCTTTGACACTTCTTCGTACCCCATGAATAGTCCTTCACGAGCCTTCGGATCCCATTTCGATCTCTTTTCCTTAGGGGTCAGCACAAACGTTCGGCAGCCGAAAACCCGCATGTGCTTCACACTTGGTCGAAATCCGTTGACGATCTCGAACGGGGTTTGATCTTGGCACTTGGGCGATGGTAGGCGATTCTTGATGTAGATTGCCGTCATTGCTGCTTCAGCCCAAAAACACTTGTCCAGCTTGGCGTAGTGAAGCATGCTGCGCCCGATCGTCACAATGGTCCGAATTGCCCGTTCCGCCGTGCCGTTGGTCTGATGCGCATACGGAACGGTAACTTGCTGCTCGATTCCTTGATCATCGTAAAATGCCTTGAGCGAATTCGCCGCAAATTCTCGTGCACCATCGTGTCGAACGAACTTGACCTTGTAGTCAAACTGCGTCTGTACTGCCATGATGTACTTCTTGATGCACTCTTCGCTGTCGGACTTGGCGCGCAGACTGAAACCCTTCATACATCCGCTGCCTTCATCGACGATCAGTAGCAAGTACTTGCTTCCACCTAGCGAGTCGACTTCCATTGGACCACAAGTGTCGATGTGTAGAAGCTCAAACGGATCGTAGTGGCGCTTGTTTGGATTGCTCGGGAACGGTCGTTGAACCATTTTTCCTTCTAGACAACCTTGATACACGCTTGATCCGCTCAATTTTGCTGGTTTCTTGGCATCCTTGATCATGCCCTTGGAGACCATTCTGCACAAGACATCAATCGGTGCGTGGCCCATACGCGCATGAAGGTTTTCGACTCTTGGTCCTGAAGCCGCATTCACCGATCGTTGGGATGTACGAAGCCAGTAGAGGCCATCCACAAGATCGGCCATCGCTATTACTTGCTTGGAGCCTTTGTGCGAAATCTTCATCTCGTCACCATCAAACACCACTTGAAACTTGCCGCTTTTGTTGATTTTGTGGTATCGAAAGCAAGTTCTTGTTCATGCTTGGGACGTAAAGCGCGTTCTTAATCTCGACTTCGCGCTCTTCACCGTTGGACAGGATCACCTTTTCGATGATTGTCCCGACACCGTTGATTGCAGCCTTGTTCCCATCTGCAACCAACACTTCACCTTCATTGCGCTCGTCCAGAACTTCGAACTTGGACTTGTCATAGCAGATGTGATGTGTTGCACCGCTGTCAATCGCCCACATTCCAGACATGCTCTTGGTCGTTGAAAGTCCGCATTCCAGCGAAACAGCAAACGCCACTCGATCATAGTCATAGTTGTTGTTGCCGTTGTAGCCTTGCCACTGGACTTGATTCGCTCCGCGTCCACGAGCATTGCCGCCGCGTCGAGCTCCCCGAATGTCTTCCTTCTGCTTGGTCCAGCACTTCTCCACTGTGTGCCCCAATTTTCCGCAGAATGTACACTGACGAACCTCACGCTCGGTACTGAAGGCCTTGGTCGCTTCTTCAGTATTCACCGATGTCGTCTTTTTCCCTTGTCTCTTGATGCGCTCATTCGTCAGCACTTTCACGACGTCTTGCGTCCGCAGTTCCGCTCTGCTCATCTCCAATTTCAGCACGACGTTATCGTCGCTCTTGGGGAGGCTGCACAACAAGCAGATCACCACGTCCTCATCCTCCATCTTGGCGCCGATGCTGCTGAGCTTGGCGCTGATGTTGAGAACTTCATTGCAATGATGCATCACATTGCCGCCTTCCGCCATCTCCATGCTGAACAGCTGCCGCTTCAAGAAGATCCGTCCCGCCTTCTGCGATCCGCCGTAGAGAGTCTTCAACCGTGTCCACGCAACCCATGCCTCGTCGCAGTCATCAACCACGTGATGATAGTCCGCGCTCATGTGAAGTAACATCAAGCCGAACGCAATGTTGTTCGTCTTGACGTACTCATCACTGGCGCGAGGATCGGCGAAGGTGGGGGTGGTCTCCCGGTTGACCACGTGCCACGTCGACTTGGTCAGGAACACGCCACGCATGTAGCGGCTCCACGTCGCGTAGTTGTCTCCATCGAATCTATCGATAGAGATCTTGGTGGCGGAATCTTGAGCAGAGGACATCGTGCTTGGGCTCATAACCTGTTAAAGTCTGAAGAGCACTGGACGAGAGAACGAAGCTTGAAGAACGCTGAAGAAGTCTGCACTGCGAAGTGTAGACGACTTGTGCTGAAGAAGGAATATTTGGAAGTGAATTTATTTGTGGGTTTTGTTAAAGCTACCTGATTTATCTCTGCACTGATTTATATGTTGTCCACATATAAATCATGAATCATAAATCATGTAGGTCATCCAATCATCCTATGCGTCTAATCATTGGTAAAAACTCACCGTAATTACGCGGGATCGACTTGGACAGGTTTACGGTTCCCATGGTAGCTGATAGCAGTACCTCAACCGTCAACCCACAATACGCCCCCTCAATGCGAACACGCGTGTATGCCGAGCGCTGCCGTCAAGTCCTTGTGACGCGGTCCTGGCAGTCCTCTTCGTCATGATGTCCGCCAACATGATCGTAGTCTCACAGTACTCCAACTTGACATCACCACGCTTGACTTCATCACGAATGTGGTGGTACTTGATGTCGATGTGCTTGGCCCGACCATGGTTCACCGGATTCTTCGTCATCTTGATGCACGACTGGTTGTCTTCCATGATCTTGAGCTCGGGTCCAGACTTGTCCTCTGCGGCATCCAGAATCTCGCACAGTAATCGATGCACCCACTTGCCTTCTTGAATCGCCAGACTTAGTGCAATGTACTCAGCTTCACTTGTTGACAGCGACACACTTGACTGCTTTTTGCTTCCCCAGCTCACCGGAGCACCCATCAGGATAAACGCATATCCTGAAGTCGACTTGCGGTCTGCATGGTCGCCGGCCCAGTCTGCATCCGAGTAGCCACAGAAGTCTATCTTGTCATCAGGCTTGAAACAGATACCGTGCGACTTAGTCCCTTGTAAGTATCGCAAAATGCGCTTGACCGCCATCCAATGCTCGACTTGGGGGTTCTCCATGAAGCGCGAAACGTAACTCACAGCAAAGGCAATGTCTGGTCGTGTCGCGGTCATCAAGTGCATCAGAGCGCCTACTGCTTCACGAAACGGGGCGTCGATTTTAGTTGCTGCGGTACTTGGTATGAGTCGAGAACTGATGTCGGTTGGGCTGGTGACGGCTTTGCAGTCGCTCATGCCAAAACACTTGAGAACATCTTCCACGTAGCGTCGCTGGCACATCGTCACGCTACCGTCGTCGTTGTCCACCAGCTCGATGCCCAACACGAATGCGCACTTCCCACTGTCGGTCATTTCGAAACGCGCCTTTAAGTCACTCTTGGTGCGCATAATCAGTTCGGTTGAGCTGCCAGTCACCAACACATCATCGACGTATACCAGCAAAAGCACTCACTCGCCACTTGTAATCTTGAGATAAAGACACGGGTCAAAATCGGAGACTTGAAATCCAATGGAGCAGACGAACTCATGAAAAGTCTCGTTCCATACGCGCGATGCTTGTTTTAGTCCGTAGATCGCCTTGACCAGTTCAAAGCAGTCAAAGTCTTCATCAACTTCGACTCCTTCTGGGATCGCGCAAAATACCTTTTCCTTCATTTCTCCGTAAAGGAAAGCTGTCACCACGTCCAGTAGGTCCAGTGTCCAGCCAAAGTACTTCGTGATTGCAACCACCATGCGCAGCGTCACGTACTTGACTACCGGCGAAAACGTTTCCGTGTAGTCGATGCCATATTTCTACTTGCACCCTTTTGCCGCAAGACGCGCCTTGTATTTCTCGATGGATCCATCAGCTTTCCGTTTGATCTTGAATACCCAGGGTTGGTGTCAATGGTATGCTGTCCATCTGGCAGTTTGGTCGCTTAAAACACGCCACGAAGTTTCATCGAGTCCAACTCGGCACAGATTGCCTTACGCCAATGCACTTGATCTGGTCTGATGAACTTTAGACTTCTTGGTCCGAGTGCAAAACGCAAAGTGAATATATATTTATAATAGGTACTTAGTTCGCAACTTTGAATACTACCTCTAAGCCTATTATTCGCAGTGACGTCACCACTGACGTCATGCAATGACGTCACCCACTGACGTCATGCAATGACGTCATCCAATGACGTCATTTCCTGACTTCGCCCTTACTGGTACATACCGGTACCCACCGGTATAGCGAAGCTTGGTCTTCCACTTGCTTCAACACTTGACGCAGCTTGACGAGGTGTCTTCTTCACAGCCGCTGTCTTTTCAACACTCCCTCTCGACTCGTTAGCTGCGGCACCTTGGATCCCAAGTCGATCGCGAATGTTTTCAAATTGTACAGCGGCGATCGGCTTGGTCATCATGTCTGCCAGCATATCTTGAGTCGGGCAATACTCCAAAACGACTTCACCTGATTCCACCTTCTCACGCACAAAATGGTAGCGTATGTCGATGTGTTTTGTTCTCTTATGGAACTCCGGGTTCTTGGCGAGAGCGATTGATCCTTGGTTGTCTTCATACATCTTGATCGCTTCGTCGCTTGTCATCTCACCAAGTTCCCCCAAAAGCACCTTGAGCCATACTGCTTCTTTGGTTGCTTCGGAAAGCGCCATGTATTCTGCTTCTGTTGAAGATAGCGCGACCGTCCGTTGTTTCTGGCTTTTCCAGCTGATGCATCCTCCGTTCATCATGAACACATAGCCGCTTGTACTTCGTCTTGACTCAATGTCGCCGGCCCAGTCTGCGTCGGTGTACCCGCAGATACGGCTTCCTTCTTCACGTGTAAACTCAAGACCATGATTGGGCGTTGCTTGCAGGTATCTCAGCACACGCTTCAAAGCTTGCCAGTGAGTCGGGCATGGGTCGGACGAGAACTGGGATAATGATCCCACTGCAGCAGCTAGATCCGGACGTGTGGCGACCATGAGATACATGATGCCTCCGACAGCACTTCGATATGGCACGTTGCACATGGTGTCTTCGTGCTTGCATTCTTGTTCACACATGTTCTTGGTTAGCTTCAGGCCGGGATCTTGAGGCGTCTTCACTGGCTTGCTGTTATCCATTCCGAACTTGGTCAACACGGACTTGAGAAACTTGGTTTGTTGCACAGTCACCATTCCCGTCTTACGGTCGTTCTTGATCTCCATGCCGAGAAAGTAATCGAGCTCACCGAGACCCGTCATTTCGAAGCGTTTGCTCAGCGCCATCTTGGTCGACTTGAGGAGTTCGTTGTTGCTGCTGGCCAGGATGAGATCATCGACGTAGAGCACCACGAGAATCATGTCTTGGTCGTCTCGCTTGATGTAGATGCAGTGGTCCGATTCGCACTTCTTGAATCCCATCTTGATCATGAACCCATCGATTGTTTGGTTCCACATGCGAGGCGATTGCTTCAAGCCGTAGAGTGATCTCTTTAGCTTGCACACATAGTCCGGCTGTGTTGCATCCAGGTATCCGTCCGGCTGGTCCATGTAGATGTCTTCGTTGAGGGAGCCGTTAAGAAACGCTGTCTTGACGTCCATCTGATGTAGCATTAGGCCGTACTTTGCCGCCATACTGAGCACCACACGAATCGATGTGAACTTGGCCACCGGTGCGAAAGTTTCTTCATAGTCAACTCCGAATTTCTGTGAGAATCCTTTGGCCACAAGTCTTGCCTTGCAACTTCGCCATCTTGATTCTCCTTTACACGAAAAACCCATCGGCACCCGATGGCCTTGCGACCTTTCGGAAGAGGCACGATTTCCCACGTGTCGTTTCTCTGAAGCGAGTCGAACTCCGAGTCACACGCTTCTTTCCCTTGCCGGAGTCGCTTGATTCCATCGCCGACTTGAATGTAGTCGGCGTTTCCTCCACTGAATCAACGATGTAGGCTGCTTCAAAATCCATTGCAGCCGCTGACACATGCTCAAGCGACGGACCTCTGTACGTTCTTCGCTTGGGACTTGGAATGAAGGTAGCTTTCTCAAGTGATTGAGTGCGCGTGTGTCTCTTGATGTTGCTCTTCGAAGACCTGGTGTCTTCGTTGTCATCGTCGCTCGAGTCCATGTCGACGTCAGTTTTACCTTCTTCTTTTTCTTCGTCCTCGTCTTGATCATCAAACTCAACGGCACTTGACTCATCGTTGTAGTTGCGCGGACCTTCATCAAACTTGTCTTCCATGAATGTGGCATCACGACTGATCTTGATCGCTCCTGTTGACACTTCCTCAAATCGATATGACTTCTGGTGTTCGGCGTATCCCAGGAAACGACAGAGTGATGACTTGGAGTCGAACTTCGCGCGTTTGTCTTGAGGCACTTGAACATACGCGTGGCATCCAAACACTTTAAGGTTGGCCAGAATCGGTTTCTTCATCGTCCACACTTGATATGGAGACTTGTCTTGGTGAATGGCACGTGTTGGACAGCGGTTTCGAAGAAACATAGCCGTCATCACTGCTTCACCCCAGTAGCTCTTTCCCAGTCCAGCGTGTTCCATCATGCAACGCGCACACTCGACCAGCGTGCGATTCATTCTCTCAGCTACTCCGTTTAGCTGAGGAGTATATGGGGGTGTGAACCTTTGTTGTATTCCCCGTTCCGCGCAGAATCGTGCCAGCTTGTCGGACTTGTATTCACCCCCATTGTCGCTTTGAAGATAATTCACGCGCTTTCCGGTTTGCGTTTCGGCCATCGCAGCGTATTCCATGAACTTCGCCGCAACTTCAGATTTGCTCTTGAGCAGATAGACGACACAGTATCTTGACTTGTCATCGATGAATGTCACGAAGTACCGTTTTCCACTGAAAGTTGCCATCGACATCGGTCCGCATACGTCGCTGTGAATCACTTCGAGGAGTTTGGAGGTGCGAGCTGTAGTGTTTGATTGGAAGCGCACTCGAGTCTGTTTTCCCAGAGCACAACCTTCACACACGTCCCACTTCTTCACCGAAGATATGTCGATGCCAATTCCAATGTTCTACGTCACGATGCAATTGAGTCCATCGTGACCTATGTGGCCAAGCCGAAGGTGCCAGAGGTACGACTTGGTGCCCCCTTGACATCCCGACGACTTGGCTGCATTTGCTTGTTCCGGCGCCACTGGAGTCATTTGCAGCTTGAACAGTCCCTTACCTTCACGGGCACCAATTTTCCACTTGGTCCCTTTCGCTTCTCCATAGCACCCATCCTTCGTGAACGTCACTGGGCCGACATCCTTGGTGAAGCGGCCGACCGAGAACAGGTTTCTGGATAACTTTGGGATGTGCCACACGTTTGTGAGCACACCTTTCTTCATCCCTTGGGGTGTCTTCATCGACATGACAATGTCCCCACTGCCGATTGCTTGGACGATTCCATCATCCGCGAGATGGACATCCACAGCGTCAAACCCCTTGTAGTTCCGCATGAACTTCTTGGAGCACGTCATGTGCTGCGTCGCCCCGGAGTCGACCAGCCAGATGTCGCTCGATTTCGCAGATGTCGTTTCACCGATCGAAAAGAGGTAGTCGCCCGAGTCTTCTTCTTGAGCGACGTTTGCACGTTGTGATCGATAGCGGTCGCCGCTGTCTTGAGCACGCTGTGGCCGGTGTCTCTCCGTGTTTTCTTGGATGCGCGAGGGGCACTCCGCCATCCAGTGACCAATCTTTCCGCAATTGTGGCACGGCCAGGACTTCTTCACTGGTCGCCCTTTGCGCTGATTGTCCCTTGTGATGAACGCTTGACCTTGCGAAGCTTCATCACCTTTACTTCCTTGCTCCTTCCGCTTCATTTCTTCATGAAGCAGTCGAAACGTCACGAGCTCCCAGCTAAGAGTGTCTGAGCGCGACTCCAAAGCTGTGATCAAGAATTGATACGAGTCACTCAGGCTGCCGAGAAGTGTGATCACCAGATCGTCCTCGCAGACTGGAGCCCCCACCGCTTCTAGCTGTTCCGCCAGCGTCTTGAGCTTGTTGATGTGTTCGAGCACATCGTCGCCTTCTTCCATCATTGTCGTGAAGAAGCGACGGCGCAAGAACAGCTTGTTGGCAAGACTCTTCTTCTCGAAGTGGTCTTCCAACCTTGACCATGCGTCGCATGCACCACTTGCCGACCGGACCAACGGTAGCTGGGAATCTTCCATGGCTAGACAGATCACTGCCATCGCCTTTCTTGACTTCCTCTTGTACGTCGCTTGGTCCAACTGAGTCTCGCACTGTTCCGCCTTGATCTCACCGCTGACGACCTCCCATAGGTCCCGTTCCTCCAGCACCATCTGCATCTTGAACTTCCAGGCGTGGAAGTTAGTTCCATCGAACTTGGAGATGCGGAGGGAGGAGGCGTCCATGGCAGCTAAGCTTGAATTGTTGGCGGTTTCAGAGTCTGACGAACTTGGGCTCATAACCTGATGAACTTTAGACTTCTTGGTCCGAGTGCAAAACGCAAAGTGAATATATATTTATAATAGGTACTTAGTTCGCAACTTTGAATACTACCTCTAAGCCTATTATTCGCACTGACGTCATCCACTGACGTCACCCACTGACGTCATGCAATGACGTCATCCAGTGACGTCATTTCCTGACTTCGCCCTTACTGGTACATACCGGTACCCACCGGTATAGCGAAGCTTGGTCTTCCACTTGCTTCAACACTTGACGCAGCTTGACGAGGTGTCTTCTTCACAGCCGCTGTCTTTTCAACATGGTCCACCAACAGCATCTCCAAACATTGTCGGCTCAGACAAGTCAGTACCTTCGACTGATTGGCACTCGCTCGCCAAAAGACTTGAGGTGTAGCATCCTCGTTATCTTCGTCACTGCCCTTTTGCTCTTCGTCCAGATTGTCTCGAGCGCTTGATCGTCGCTTCGCTTGGTGCGATTCAGAGTCATCCGGGGCACTTGCTTCTTCTAACCCGGTTCCACGACGCTCAAGAAGTGTCCGTTGTAGAACTTGTTCCTGACTGTTTGAACGGCTTTCGCGTTTTCCAGTTTGCTTGAACTGCATGGGGTGAGGCTCATCGCTGATGTTCATCGATTCGATATCCAGCGCAGTGTCATCAACAATTTCTTGTGGTAGCCTCGGCGAGAAACCAAGCGTTGATTCGTCGAATGTGACATCGCGAGATATCACCACTTGGTCCGCTTCAATGTCGTAAACGCGATATGCCTTTGACACTTCTTCGTACCCCATGAATAGTCCTTCACGAGCCTTCGGATCCCATTTCGATCTCTTTTCCTTAGGGGTCAGCACAAACGTTCGGCAGCCGAAAACCCGCATGTGCTTCACACTTGGTCGAAATCCGTTGACGATCTCGAACGGGGTTTGATCTTGGCACTTGGGCGATGGTAGGCGATTCTTGATGTAGATTGCCGTCATTGCTGCTTCAGCCCAAAAACACTTGTCCAGCTTGGCGTAGTGAAGCATGCTGTGCCCGATCGTCACAATAGTCCGAATTGCCCGTTCCGCCGTGCCGTTGGTCTGATGCGCATACGGAACGGTAACTTGCTGCTCGATTCCTTGATCATCGTAAAATGCCTTGAGCGAATTCGCCGCAAATTCTCGTGCACCATCGTGTCGAACGAACTTGACCTTGTAGTCAAACTGCGTCTGTACTGCCATGATGTACTTCTTGATGCACTCTTCGCTGTCGGACTTGGCGCGCAGACTGAAACCCTTCATACATCCGCTGCCTTCATCGACGATCAGTAGCAAGTACTTGCTTCCACCTAGCGAGTCTACTTCCATTGGACCACAAGTGTCGATGTGTAGAAGCTCAAACGGATCGTAGTGGCGCTTGTCTGGATTGCTCGGGAACGGTCGTTGAACCATTTTTCCTTCTAGACAACCTTGACACACGCTTGATCCGCTCAATTTTGCTGGCTTCTTGGCATCCTTGATCATGCCTTTGGAGACCATTCTGCACAAGACATCAATCGGTGCGTGGCCCATACGCGCATGAAGGTTTTCGACTCTTGGTCCTGAAGCCGCATTCACCGATCGTTGGGATGTACGAAGCCAGTAGAGGCCATCCACAAGATCGGCCATCGCTATTACTTGCTTGGAGCCTTTGTGCGAAATCTTCATCTCGTCACCATCAAACACCACTTGAAACTTGCCGCTTTTGTTGATTTGTGGTATCGAAAGCAAGTTTTTGTTCATGCTTGGGACGTAAAGCGCGTTCTTGATCTCGACTTCGCGCTCTTCACCGTTGGACAGGGTCACCTTTTCGATGATTGTCCCGACACCGTTGATCGCAACCTTGTTCCCATCTGCAACCAACACTTCGCCTTCATTGCGCTCGTCCAGAAATTCGAACTTGGACTTGTCATAGCAGATGTGATGTGTTGCACCGCTGTCAATCGCCCACATTCCAGACATGCTCTTGGTCGTTGAAAGTCCGCATTCCAGCGAAACAGCAAACGCCACTCGATCATAGTCACAGTTGCTGTTGCCGTTGTAGCCTTGCCACTGAACTTGATTCGCTCCGCGTCCACGTGCATTGCCGTCGCGTCGAGCTCCCCGATTGTCTTCCTTCTGCTTGGTCCAGCACTTTTCCACCGTGTGCCCCAATTTTACGCAGAACGTACACTGACGAACCTCACGCTCGGTACTGAAGGCCTTGGTCGCTTCTTCAGTTTTCACCGATGTCGTCTTTTTCCCTTGTCTCTTGATGTGCTCATTCGTCAGCACTTTCACGACGTCTCGCGATCGCAGTTCCGCGCTGCTCATCTCCAAGTTCAGCATGACGTTCTCGTAGCTCTTGGGGAGGCTGCACAACAAGCAGATCGCCACGTCCTCATCCTCCATCTTGGCGCCGATGCTGCTGAGCTTGGCGCTGATGTTGAGAACTTCATTGCAATGATGCATCACATTGCCGCCTTCCGCCATCTCCATGCTGAACAGCTGCCGCTTCAAGAAGATCCGTCCCGCCTTCTGCGATCCGCCGTAGAGAGTCTTCAACCGTGTCCACGCAACCCATGCCTCGTCGCAGTCATCAACCACGTGATGATAGTCCGCGCTCATGTGAAGTAACATCAAGCCGAACGCAATGTTGTTCGTCTTGACGTACTCATCACTGGCGCGAGGATCGGCGAAGGTGGGGGTGGTCTCCCGGTTGACCACGTGCCACGTCGACTTGGTCAGGAACACGCCACGCATGTAGCGGCTCCACGTCGCGTAGTTGTCTCCATCGAATCTATCGATAGAGATCATGGTGGCTGAATCTTGAGCAGAGGACATCGTGCTTGGGCTCATAACCTGTTAAAGTCTGAAGAGCACTGGACGAGAGAACGAAGCTTGAAGAACGCTGAAGAAGTCTGCACTGCGAAGTGTAGACGACTTGTGCTGAAGAAGGAATATTTGGAAGTGAATTTATTTGTGGGTTTTGTTCAAGCTACCTGATTTATCTCTGCACTGATTTATATGTTGTCCACATATAAATCATGAATCATAAATCATGTAGGTCATCCAATCATCCTATGCGTCTAATCATTGGTAAAAACTCACCGTAATTACGCGGGATCGACTTGGACAGGTTTACGGTTCCCATGGTAGCTGATAGCAGTACCTCAACCGTCAACCCACAATACGCCCCCTCAATGCGAACACGCGTGTATGCCGAGCGCTGCCGTCAAGTCCTTGTGACGCGGTCCTGGCAGTCCCTTCGTCATGATGTCCGCCAACATGATCGTAGTCTCACAGTACTCCAACTTGACATCACCACGCTTGACTTCATCACGAATGTGGTGGTACTTGATGTCGATGTGCTTGGCCCGACCATGGTTCACCGGATTCTTCGTCATCTTGATGCACGACTGGTTGTCTTCCATGATCTTGAGCTCGGGTCCAGACTTGTCCTCTGCGGCATCCAGAATCTCGCACAGTAATCGATGCACCCACTTGCCTTCTTGAATCGCCAGACTTAGTGCAATGTACTCAGCTTCACTTGTTGACAGCGACACACTTGACTGCTTTTTGCTTCCCCAGCTCACCGGAGCACCCATCAGGATAAACGCGTATCCTGAAGTCGACTTGCGGTCTGCATGGTCGCCGGCCCAGTCTGCATCCGAGTAGCCACAGAAATCTATCTTGTCATCAGGCTTGAAGCAGATACCGTGCGACTTAGTCCCTTGTAAGTATCGCAAAATGCGCTTGACCGCCATCCAATGCTCGACTTGGGGGTTCTCCATGAAGCGCGAAACGTAACTCACAGCAAAGGCAATGTCCGGTCGTGTCGCGGTCATCAAGTGCATCAGAGCGCCTACTGCTTCACGAAACGGGGCGTCGATTTTAGTTGCTGCGGTACTTGGTATGAGTCGAGAACTGATGTCTGTTGGGCTGGTGACGGCTTTGCAGTCGCTCATGCCAAAACGCTTGAGAACATCTTCCACGTAGCGTCGCTGGCACATCGTCACGCTACCGTCGTCGTTGTCCACCAGCTCGATGCCCAACACGAATGCGCACTTCCCACTGTCGGTCATTTCGAAACGCGCCTTTAAGTCACTCTTGGTGCGCATAATCAGTTCGGTTGAGCTGCCAGTCACCAACACATCATCGACGTATACCAGCAAAAGCACGCACTCGCCACTTGTAATCTTGAGATAAAGACACGGGTCAAAATCGGAGACTTGAAATCCAATGGAGCAGACGAACTCATGAAAAGTCTCGTTCCATACGCGCGATGCTTGTTTTAGTCCGTGGATCGCCTTGACCAGTTCAAAGCAGTCAAAGTCTTCATCAACTTCGACTCCTTCTGGGATCGCGCAAAATACCTTTTCCTTCATTTCTCCGTAAAGGAAAGCTGTCACCACGTCCAGTTGGTCCAGTGTCCAGCCAAAGTACTTCGTGATTGCAACCACCATGCGCAGCGTCACGTACTTGACTACCGGCGAAAACGTTTCCGTGTAGTCGATGCCATATTTCTGCTTGAACCCTTTTGCCACGAGGCGCGCCTTTTATTTCTCGATGGATCCATCAGCTTTCCGTTTGATCTTGAATACCCACTTGGTGCCAATGGTATGCTGTCCAGACGGCAGTTTGGTCGCTCGAAACACGCCACGAAGTTTCATCGAGTCCAACTCGGCACAGATTGCCTTACGCCAATGCACTTGATCTGGTCCACCAACAGCATCTCCAAACGTTGTCGGCTCAGACAAGTCAGTACCTTCGACTGCATTGGCACTCGCTCGCCAAAAGACTTGAGGTGTAGCATTCTCGTTATCTTCGTCACTGCCCTTTTGCTCTTCGTCCAGATTGTCTCGAGCGCTTGATCGTCGCTTCGCTTGGTGCGATTCAGAGTCATCCGGGGCACTTGCTTCTTCTAACCCGGTTCCACGACGCTCAAGAAGTGTCCGTTGTAGAACTTGTTCCTGACTGTTTAAACGGCTTTTGCGTTTTCCAGTTTGCTTGAACTGCATGGGGTGAGGCTCTGTTGTAACTTGAGCGCGAGGCGAAGAGAAAACGAAGCGGAGAGACCGGAGAGAACGAAGCAGAGAACACTTGCTCACTTGAGGGAGGATTCGAAAGTGATTGATTTATAGGTCTTAACTTCTGCCTACCCTAGACTGCATCCAATCACATGGTGCATCTAATCAACCTGATTTACACGCGTCCAATCATCCTACGCGTCTAATCATCTCTGAGGTAATTACCGATGTAAAAACTATCTCGTAAGAACTACGCGCTAGGTTCGGATTGTACCGGTAACCCTCAATACGCCCCCTCAATCCGAACACGCACGGATGCCAAGCGCCGCCGTCAAGTCCTTGTGACGCGGTCCGTGAAGTCCCTTCGTCATGATGTCCGCCAACATCAACGTCGTCTCGCAGTATTCAAGCTTCACTTCGCCGCGCTTGACTTCATCACGGATGTGATGGTACTTGATGTCGATGTGTTTAGCGCGGCCGTGGTTGACCGGATTCTTCGTCATCTTGATGCACGACTGGTTGTCTTCACGGATGAAGAGCTCGGGTCCTTCTTCGTTTGCAGCCGCCATGATCTCGCACAGCAAGCGATTGATCCACTTGCCTTCTTGGATCGCCAGGCTGAGCGCGATGTACTCCGCTTCGCTTGTAGACAGTGACACACTTGGCTGTTTCTTGCTGCCCCAACTCACCGGAGCACCCAATAGCATGAAGACGTAGCCGGACGTCGATTTGCGATCAGCAAGGTCACCGGCCCAGTCTGCATCTGAATAGCCACGAAAGTCGATCTTCGCACTTGGCTTGTAGCAGATTCCATGCATCTTGGTGCCTTGTAGGTAGCGGAAGATGCGCTTGACTGCAACCCAGTGTCTTCTTCTTGGGGTTTCTCCATGAACCGTGACACAAAGCTTACAGCATAGGCGATGTCCGGTCGCGTTGCAGTCGTCAGATGCATCAAAGCACCCACTGCTTCACGGAATGGGACATCCACCTTGCTTGCAGAGTTGCTTGGAACCAGTCGAGAGCTGACGTCCACCGGACTTGCCACAGCCTTGCACTCATCCATTCCAAAGCGCTTGAGGACATCGTCGACATAACGGCGCTGACACATAGTCACGCTGCCATCTTCACCGTCCAATAACTCGATCCCAAGAACAAAGGCACACTTGCCGCTGTCCGTCATCTCGAAGCGTGTCTTGAGGTCGTTCTTGGTGCGCGCAATCATCTCGAGCGAGCTTCCAGTCACCAAGACATCGTCCACGTAGACCAGCACAAAAACACAATGGCCTTCCGAAGTCATGATGTAGAGACATGGATCGAATCCCGACGCTTGAAAACCAATCGAGCGTATGAACTCGTCGAAGGTCTCGTTCCAAACACGCGAGGCTTGCTTGAGACCGTAGATCGCCTTGATCATCTCGAGACAGTCGAAATCACCTTCCATCTTGACGCCTTCCGGAACAGCGCAGAACACCTTCTCCTTCATCACTCCTAACAGGAACGCAGTCACCACATCGAGCTGGTCGAGGGGCCATCCAAAGTGCTTGGTAATGGCGATGACCATTCGCAGCGTCACATACTTGACCACGGGCGAGAACGTCTCCGTGTAGTCGATGCCATACTTTTGGCGAAAACCCTTGGCCACAAGTCGTGCCTTGTATTTCTCGATCGACCCATCCGCCTTGCGCTTGATCTTGAAGACCCACTTTGTGCCAATGGCGCGTTGTCCGTTGGGTAACTTGGCCGCACGAAAGACACCGCGAAGCTTCATCGAATCGAGCTCCGCATCAATTGCCTTGCGCCAGTGTACTTGGTCCGGGCCAGACACTGCTTCTTCAAATGTCGACGGCTCCGAAAAATCGACCGCTGCTTCGACGGCGTTTGCACTCGCATGCCAAAACGCGGAGGAAGTCGGTGTGTCATGTTGTTCCTCCGACTTCCTTTCTTCATCTTCGTTGGCTCGACGTGAAGAGAGGTCATCCGGCGCACTTGACTCTTCCAATCCGGGTCGTTGGCGCACTGCTCGGGGCATGCTTGCGTCGTCATTGTCGTGACTGGGTTGGGCCTTGCGCTTTCCTGTTTGTTTGAAGTGTCTCGGACGCGGTTCTTCATCATCAAGATCGATCGATTCGAAGTCCAGGCCATCAACATCGTCATCGGAAATCAGCATCGACATTCCAAAGGCCGACTCATCGAAGTTGACATCGCGACTTATCATCACCTGCCCCGCTTCGATGTCGTAAACTCGATACGCCTTGGACACTTCTTCGTAGCCCAAAAACAATCCAGCCCGGGCTTTGGGATCCCACTTGAGTCGTTTCTCCTTCGGGGTCAAGATGTATGCTTGGCACCCAAAAACGTGCATGTGCTTGACACTTGGCTTAGAATTGTAGACAATCTCGAACGGTGTCTTGTGTGGAATCTTGGGTGACGGCAAACGGTTCTTCACATAGACGGCCGTCATTGCCGCTTCAGCCCAGAAGCACTTGTCCAACTTGGCATGATGGAGCATGATACGACCGATGGTGACGATAGTTCGAATCGCGCGTTCAGCAGTTCCATTGGCTTGATGTGCGTATGGCACCGTGGTTTGTTGCTCGATGCCTTCGACTTCGTAGAAATCTTGAAGCGAGTTCGTCGCAAACTCGCGGGCTCCATCGTGTCGCACAAATTTGACCTTCTTGTTGAACTGCGTCTGTATCATCGTGATGTACTTCTTGATGCACTCTTCGCTCTCTGACTTGGAATGCAGACAAAAACCCTTCATGCATCCGCTGGCTTCATCCACGATCAGCAGCAGATACTTGCTGCCACCCAGAGATTTTTCTTCCATGGGTCCGCAGATGTCGAAGTGGAGCATCTCGAAGGTGTTGTAGGTGCGCTTGTCACGGTTGCTCGGGAATGGTTTTTGGACCATCTTCCCTTCTTGGCATCCTCGACACACACTTGATCCATTCGGCTTGGAAGGGATGTGAGCGTCCTTGATCATGTGGCTTGTCACCATCCTGCGAAGCACGTCGACTGGAGCATGGCCCATTCGCGCATGTAGATCAACAGCGTTGCTGAGTGATGTCGCATTGGCCGATCGCTGCGTCGTGCGAAGCCAGTAGAGTCCGTCTACAAGATCCGCAGCTGCCACCACTTGATTGGAATCCTTGCGAGCGACGTACATCGTATCCCCGTCAAAAACCACTTGGAAGTTGCCGTGCTTGTTAATCTGCGGCACCGAGAGCAGATTTTTGCTCATGCTGGGCACATAGAGCGCGTTCTTGATCTCGATCTCGCGCTCTTCCCCGTTTGGCAGAATCACCTTTTCCACGATGGTCCCCACACCTTTGATGGCCGCCTTGTTGCCATCAGCCACCAGGATCTCGCCATCATTGCCTTCGACCAAACTTGCAAACTTGAACTTGTCGTGGCAGATGTGATGTGTTGCCCCGCTGTCAACGGCCCACATTCCTGGTCCATTCTTGTTCGTCGAAACTCCGCATTCGAACGAAACTGCAAACGCCACTCGATCGTAGCTGTTGCCTTCATCATAATGTCGCCACTGGACATTGTTTGCCCCGCGTCCACGACCATTGCCGCCGCGTTGGGCTCCTCGACTTTCATCCTTTTGCTTCGTCCAGCAACGTCTCTGCCGTGTGCCCCACCTTGCCGCAGTATGTGCATTGGTAGGGCTTGCGCTCGGTACTGAATGCCTTTGTCGCATCTTCAGTCTTCACCGTTGTCGTTGCCGTTGTCATCTTCTCGCCTTGTCGCTTGATGTGCTCGTTAGTCAGCACCTTGACCACATCTTGCGTGCGCAGCTCTGCATTGCTCATCTCCAAGTTCAGAACCACGTTCTCGAAACTCTTCGGGAGACTGAGCAGCAAGCAGATCGCAATGTCTTCGTCTTCCATCTTGGCACCGATGCTGCTGAGCTTGGCGCCGATGTTCAAGACTTCGTTGCAATGGTGCAAGACGTTGGCACCTTCCGCCATCTTGATGCTGAACAGCTGGCGCTTGAGGTAGATGCGTCCCGCCTTCTGCGACCCACCATAGAGCATCTTTAACCGCGACCACGCTGTCCATGCTTCTTCACAGTTGTCGACCACATGGTGGTAGTCGGCGTCCATGTGGAGCAACATCAACCCGAACGCAATGTTGCTCGCCTTGACGTACTCGTCGGAAGCTCGCGTGTCGGTGAAGGTTGGAGAAGTTTCGCGGCTCACGACGTACCAGACTGACTTCGTCAGAAACACGCCGCGCATGTAGCGACACCAGGTTGAGTAGTTGTCCTCATCGAACTTATCGATGGAGACACTGGCCGAGGTGTTGTTGGACGACATGGCGCTTGGGCTCATAACCTGTTGTAACTTGAGCGCGAGGCGAAGAGAAAACGAAGCGGAGAGACCGGAGAGAACGAAGCAGAGAACACTTGCTCACTTGAGGGAGGATTCGAAAGTGATTGATTTATAGGTCTTAACTTCTGCCTACCCTAGACTGCATCCAATCACATGGTGCATCTAATCAACCTGATTTACACGCGTCCAATCATCCTACGCGTCTAATCATCTCTGAGGTAATTACCGATGTAAAAACTATCTCGTAAGAACTACGCGCTAGGTTCGGATTGTACCGGTAACCCTCAATAGGCTCATCGCTGATGTTCATCGATTCGATATCCAGCGCAGTGTCATCAACAATTTCTTGTGGTAGCCTCGGCGAGAAACCAAGCGTTGATTCGTCGAATGTGACATCGCGAGATATCACCACTTGGTCCGCTTCAATGTCGTAAACGCGATATGCCTTTGACACTTCTTCGTACCCCATGAATAGTCCTTCACGAGCCTTTGGATCCCATTTCGATCTCTTTTCCTTAGGGGTCAGCACAAACGTTCGGCAGCCGAAAACCCGCATGTGCTTCACACTTGGTCGAACTCCGTTGACGATCTCGAATGGGGTTCGATCTTGGCACTTGGGCGATGGTAGGCGATTCTTGATATAGATCTCCGTCATTGCTGCTTCAGCCCAAAAACACTTGTCCAGCTTGGCGTAGTAAAGGATGATGAACTTTAGACTTCTTGGTCCGAGTGCAAAACGCAAAGTGAATATATATATATAATAGGTACTTAGTTCGCAACTTTGAATACTACCTCTAAGCCTATTATTCGCAGTGACGTCACCCACTGACGTCACCCACTGACGTCATTTCCTGACTTCGCCCTTACTGGTACATACCGGTACCCACCGGTATAGCGAAGCTTGGTCTTCCACTTGCTTCAACACTTGACGCAGCTTGACGAGGTGTCTTCTTCACAGCCGCTGTCTTTTCAACACTCCCTCTCGACTCGTTAGCTGCGGCACCTTGGATCCCAAGTCGATCGCGAATGTTTTCAAATTGTACAGCGGCGATCGGCTTGGTCATCATGTCTGCCAGCATATCTTGAGTCGGGCAATACTCCAAAACGACTTCACCTGATTCCACCTTCTCACGCACAAAATGGTAGCGTATGTCGATGTGTTTTGTTCTCTTATGGAACTCCGGGTTCTTGGCGAGAGCGATTGATCCTTGGTTGTCTTCATACATCTTGATCGCTTCGTCGCTTGTCATCTCACCAAGTTCCCCCAAAAGCACTTTGAGCCATACTGCTTCTTTGGTTGCTTCGGAAAGCGCCATGTATTCTGCTTCTGTTGAAGATAGCGCGACCGTCCGTTGTTTCTGGCTTTTCCAGCTGATGCATCCTCCGCTCATCATGAACACATAGCCGCTTGTACTTCGTCTTGACTCAATGTCGCCGGCCCAGTCTGCGTCGGTGTACCCGCAGATACGGCTTCCTTCTTCACGTGTAAACTCAAGACCATGATTGGGCGTTGCTTGCAGGTATCTCAGCACACGCTTCAAAGCTTGCCAGTGAGTCGGGCATGGGTCGGACGAGAACTGGGATAATGATCCCACTGCAGCAGCTAGATCCGGACGTGTGGCGACCATGAGATACATGATGCCTCCGACAGCACTTCGATATGGCACGTTGCACATGGTGTCTTCGTGCTTGCATTCTTGTTCACACATGTTCTTGGTTAGCTTCAGGCCGGGATCTTGAGGCGTCTTCACTGGCTTGCTGTTATCCATTCCGAACTTGGTCAACACGGACTTGAGAAACTTGGTTTGTTGCACAGTCACCATTCCCGTCTTACGGTCGTTCTTGATCTCCATGCCGAGAAAGTAATCGAGCTCACCGAGATCCGTCATTTCGAAGCGTTTGCTCAGAGCCATCTTGGTCGACTTGAGGAGTTCGTTGTTGCTACTGGCCAGGATGAGATCATCGACGTAGAGCACCACGAGAATCATGTCTTGGTCGTCTCGCTTGATGTAGATGCAGTGGTCCGATTCGCACTTCTTGAATCCCATCTTGATCATGAACCCATCGATTGTTTGGTTCCACATGCGAGGCGATTGCTTCAAGCCGTAGAGTGATCTCTTTAGCTTGCACACATAGTCCGGCTGTGTTGCATCCAGGCATCCGTCCGGCTGGTCCATGTAGATGTCTTCGTTGAGGGAGCCGTTAAGAAACGCTGTCTTGACGTCCATCTGATGTAGCATTAGGCCGTACTTTGCCGCCATACTGAGCACCACACGAATCGATGTGAACTTGGCCACCGGTGCGAAAGTTTCTTCATAGTCAACTCCGAATTTCTGTGAGAATCCTTTGGCCACAAGTCTTGCCTTGCAACTTCGCCATCTTGATTCTCCTTTACACGAAAAACCCATCGGCACCCGATGGCCTTGCGACCTTTCGGAAGAGGCACGATTTCCCACGTGTCGTTTCTCTGAAGCGAGTCGAACTCCGAGTCACACGCTTCTTTCCCCTTGCCGGAGTCGCTTGATTCCATCGCCGACTTGAATGTAGTCGGCGTTTCCCCCACTGAATCAACGATGTAGGCTGCTTCAAAATCCATTGCAGCCGCTGACACATGCTCAAGCGACGGACCTCTGTACGTTCTTCGCTTGGGACTTGGAATGAAGGTAGCTTTCTCAAGTGATTGAGTGCGCGTGTGTCTCTTGATGTTGCTCTTCGAAGACCTGGTGTCTTCGTTGTCATCGTCGCTCGAGTCCATGTCGACGTCAGTTTTACCTTCTTCTTTTTCTTCGTCCTCGTCTTGATCATCAAACTCAACGGCACTTGACTCATCGTTGTAGTTGCGCGGACCTTCATCAAACTTGTCTTCCATGAATGTGGCATCACGACTGATCTTGATCGCTCCTGTTGACACTTCCTCAAATCGATATGACTTCTGGTGTTCGGCGTATCCCAGGAAACGACAGAGTGATGACTTGGAGTCGAACTTCGCGCGTTTGTCTTGAGGCACTTGAACATACGCGTGGCATCCAAACACTTTAAGGTTGGCCAGAATCGGTTTCTTCATCGTCCACACTTGATATGGAGACTTGTCTTGGTGAATGGCACGTGTTGGACAGCGGTTTCGAAGAAACATAGCCGTCATCACTGCTTCACCCCAGTAGCTCTTTCCCAGTCCAGCGTGTTCCATCATGCAACGCGCACACTCGACCAGCGTGCGACTCATTCTCTCAGCTACTCCGTTTAGCTGAGGAGTATATGGGGGTGTGAACCTTTGTTGTATTCCCCGTTCCGCGCAGAATCGTGCCAGCTTGTCGGACTTGTATTCACCCCCATTGTCGCTTTGAAGATACTTCACGCGCTTTCCGGTTTGCGTTTCGGCCATCGCAGCGTATTCCATGAACTTCGCCGCAACTTCAGATTTGCTCTTGGGCAGATAGACGACACAGTATCTTGACTTGTCATCGATGAATGTCACGAAGTACCGTTTTCCACTGAAAGTTGCCATCGACATCGGTCCGCATACGTCGCTGTGAATCACTTCGAGGAGTTTGGAGGTGCGAGCTGTAGTGTTTGATTGGAAGCGCACTCGAGTCTGTTTTCCCAGAGCACAACCTTCACACACGTCCCACTTCTTCACCGAAGATATGTCGATGCCAATTCCAATGTTCTTCGTCACGATGCAATTGAGTCCATCGTGACCTATGTGGCCAAGCCGAAGGTGCCAGAGGTACGACTTGGTGCCCCCTTGACATCCCGACGACTTGGCTGCATTTGCTTGTTCCGGCGCCACTGGAGTCATTTGCAGCTTGAACAGTCCTTTACCTTCACGGGCACCAATTTTCCACTTGGTCCCTTTCGCTTCTCCATAGCACCCATCCTTCGTGAACGTCACTGGGCCGACATCCTTGGTGAAGTGGCCGACCGAGAACAGGTTTCTGGATAACTTTGGGATGTGCCACACGTTTGTGAGCACACCTTTCTTTATCCCTTGGGGTGTCTTCATCGACATGACAATGTCCCCACTGCCGATTGCTTGGACGATTCCATCATCCGCGAGATGGACATCCACAGCGTCAAACCCCTTGTAGTTCCGCATGAACTTCTTGGAGCACGTCATGTGCTGCGTCGCCCCGGAGTCGACCAGCCAGATGTCGCTCGATTTCGCAGATGTCGTTTCACCGATCGAAAAGAGGTAGTCGCCCGAGTCTTCTTCTTGAGCGACGTTTGCACGTTGTGATCGATAGCGGTCGCCGCTGTCTTGAGCACGCTGTGGCCGGTGTCTCTCCGTGTTTTCTTGGATGCGCGAGGGGCACTCCGCCATCCAGTGACCAATCTTTCCGCAATCGTGGCACGGCCAGGACTTCTTCACTGGTCGCCCTTTGCGCTGATTGTCCCTTGTGATGAACGCTTGACCTTGCGAAGCTTCATCACCTTTACTTCCTTGCTCCTTCCGCTTCATTTCTTCATGAAGCAGTCGAGACGTCACGAGCTCCCAGCTAAGAGTGTCTGAGCGCGACTCCAAAGCTGTGATCAAGAATTGATACGAGTCACTCAGGCTGCCGAGGAGTGTGATCACCAGATCGTCCTCGCAGACTGGAGCCCCCACCGCTTCTAGCTGTTCCGCCAGCGTCTTGAGCTTGTTGATGTGTTCGAGCACATCGTCGCCTTCTTCCATCATTGTCGTGAAGAAGCGACGGCGCAAGAACAGCTTGTTGGCAAGACTCTTCTTCTCGAAGTGGTCTTCCAACCTTGACCATGCGTCGCATGCACCACTTGCCGACCGGACCAACGGTAGCTGGGAATCTTCCATGGCTAGACAGATCACTGCCATCGCCTTTCTTGACTTCCTCTTGTACGTCGCTTGGTCCAACTGAGTCTCGCACTGTTCCGCCTTGATCTCACCGCTGACGACCTCCCATAGGTCCCGTTCCTCCAGCACCATCTGCATCTTGAACTTCCAGGCGTGGAAGTTAGTTCCATCGAACTTGGAGATGCGGAGGGAGGGAGGCGTCCATGGCAGCTAAGCTTGAATTGTTGGCGGTTTCAGAGTCTGACGAACTTGGGCTCATAACCTGATGAACTTTAGACTTCTTGGTCCGAGTGCAAAACGCAAAGTGAATATATATTTATAATAGGTACTTAGTTCGCAACTTTGAATACTACCTCTAAGCCTATTATTCGCACTGACGTCATCCACTGACGTCACCCACTGACGTCATGCAATGACGTCATCCAATGACGTCATTTCCTGACTTCTCCCTTACTGGTACATACCGGTACCCACCGGTATAGCGAAGCTTGGTCTTCCACTTGCTTCAACACTTGACGCAGCTTGACGAGGTGTCTTCTTCACAGCCGCTGTCTTTTCAACAAAGCATGCTGCGCCCGATCGTCACAATAGTCCGAATTGCCCGTTCCGCCGTGCCGTTGGTCTGGTGCGCATACGGAACGGTAACTTGCTGCTCGATTCCTTGATCATCGTAAAATGCCTTGAGCGAATTCGCCGCAAATTCTCGTGCACCATCGTGTCGAACGAACTTGACCTTGTAGTCAAACTGCGTCTGTACTGCCATGATGTACTTCTTGATGCACTCTTCGCTGTCGGACTTGGCGCGCAGACTGAAACCCTTCATACATACGCTGCCTTCATCGACGATCAGTAGCAAGTACTTGCTTCCACCTAGCGAGTCGACTTCCATTGGACCACAAGTGTCGATGTGTAGAAGCTCAAACGGATCGTAGTGGCGCTTGTTTGGATTGCTCGGGAACGGTCGTTGAACCATTTTTCCTTCTAGACAACCTTGACACACGCTTGATCCGCTCAATTTTGCTGGCTTCTTGGCATCCTTGATCATGCCCTTGGAGACTATTCTGCACAAGACATCAATCGGTGCGTGGCCCATACGCGCATGAAGGTTTTCGACTCTTGGTCCTGAAGCCGCATTCACCGATCGTTGGGATGTACGAAGCCAGTAGAGGCCATCCACAAGATCGGCCATCGCTATTACTTGCTTGGAGCCTTTGTGCGAAATCTTCATCTCGTCACCATCAAACACCACTTGAAACTTGCCGCTTTTGTTGATTTGTGGTATCGAAAGCAAGTTTTTGTTCATGCTTGGGACGTAAAGCGCGTTCTTGATCTCGACTTCGCGCTCTTCACCGTTGGACAGGGTCACCTTTTCGATGATTGTCCCGACACCGTTGATCGCAGCCTTGTTCCCATCTGCAACCAACACTTCGCCTTCATTGCGCTCGTCCAGAACTTCGAACTTGGACTTGTCATAGCAGATGTGATGTGTTGCACCGCTGTCAATCGCCCACATTCCAGACATGCTCTTGGTCGTTGAAAGTCCGCATTCCAGCGAAACAGCAAACGCCACTCGATCATAGTCACAGTTGCTGTTGCCGTTGTAGCCTTGCCACTGAACTTGATTCGCTCCGCGTCCACGTGCATTGCCGTCGCGTCGAGCTCCCCGATTGTCTTCCTTCTGCTTGGTCCAGCACTTTTCCACCGTGTGCCCCAATTTTACGCAGAACGTACACTGACGAACCTCACGCTCGGTACTGAAGGCCTTGGTCGCTTCTTCAGTTTTCACCGATGTCGTCTTTTTCCCTTGTCTCTTGATGTGCTCATTCGTCAGCACTTTCACGACGTCTTGCGTCCGCAGTTCCGCGCTGCTCATCTCCAAGTTCAGCATGACGTTCTCGTAGCTCTTGGGGAGGCTGCACAACAAGCAGATCGCCACGTCCTCATCCTCCATCTTGGCGCCGATGCTGCTGAGCTTGGCGCTGATGTTGAGAACTTCATTGCAATGATGCATCACATTGCCGCCTTCCGCCATCTCCATGCTGAACAGCTGCCGCTTCAAGAAGATCCGTCCCGCCTTCTGCGATCCGCCGTAGAGAGTCTTCAACCGTGTCCACGCAACCCATGCCTCGTCGCAGTCATCAACCACGTGATGATAGTCCGCGCTCATGTGAAGTAACATCAAGCCGAACGCAATGTTGTTCGTCTTGACGTACTCATCACTGGCGCGAGGATCGGCGAAGGTGGGGGTGGTCTCCCGGTTGACCACGTGCCACGTCGACTTGGTCAGGAACACGCCACGCATGTAGCGGCTCCACGTCGCGTAGTTGTCTCCATCGAATCTATCGATAGAGATCATGGTGGCTGAATCTTGAGCAGAGGACATCGTGCTTGGGCTCATAACCTGTTAAAGTCTGAAGAGCACTGGACGAGAGAACGAAGCTTGAAGAACGCTCAAGAAGTCTGCACTGCGAAGTGTAGACGACTTGTGCTGAAGAAGGAATATTTGGAAGTGAATTTATTTGTGGGTTTTGTTCAAGCTACCTGATTTATCTCTGCACTGATTTATATGTTGTCCACATATAAATCATGAATCATAAATCATGTAGGTCATCCAATCATCCTATGCGTCTAATCATTGGTAAAAACTCACCGTAATTACGCGGGATCGACTTGGACAGGTTTACGGTTCCCATGGTAGCTGATAGCAGTACCTCAACCGTCAACCCACAATACGCCCCCTCAATGCGAACACGCGTGTATGCCGAGCGCTGCCGTCAAGTCCTTGTGACGCGGTCCTGGCAGTCCCTTCGTCATGATGTCCGCCAACATGATCGTAGTCTCACAGTACTCCAACTTGACATCACCACGCTTGACTTCATCACGAATGTGGTGGTACTTGATGTCGATGTGCTTGGCCCGACCATGGTTCACCGGATTCTTCGTCATCTTGATGCACGACTGGTTGTCTTCCATGATCTTGAGCTCGGGTCCAGACTTGTCCTCTGCGGCATCCAGAATCTCGCACAGTAATCGATGCACCCACTTGCCTTCTTGAATCGCCAGACTTAGTGCAATGTACTCAGCTTCACTTGTTGACAGCGACACACTTGACTGCTTTTTGCTTCCCCAGCTCACCGGAGCACCCATCAGGATAAACGCGTATCCTGAAGTCGACTTGCGGTATGCATGGTCGCCGGCCCAGTCTGCATCCGAGTAGCCACAGAAGTCTATCTTGTCATCAGGCTTGAAACAGATACCGTGCGACTTAGTCCCTTGTAAGTATCGCAAGATGCGCTTGACCGCCATCCAATGCTCGACTTGGGGGTTCTCCATGAAGCGCGAAACGTAACTCACAGCAAAGGCAATGTCCGGTCGTGTCGCGGTCATCAAGTGCATCAGAGCGCCTACTGCTTCACGAAACGGGGCGTCGATTTTAGTTGCTGCGGTACTTGGTATGAGTCGAGAACTGATGTCTGTTGGGCTGATGACGGCTTTGCAGTCGCTCATGCCAAAACGCTTGAGAACATCTTCCACGTAGCGTCGCTGGCACATCGTCACGCTACCGTCGTCGTTGTCCACCAGCTCGATACCCAACACGAATGCGCACTTCCCACTGTCGGTCATTTCGAAACGCGCCTTTAAGTCACTCTTGGTGCGCATAATCAGTTCGGTTGAGCTGCCAGTCACCAACACATCATCGACGTATACCAGCAAAAGCACGCACTCGCCACTTGTAATCTTGAGATAAAGACACGGGTCAAGATCGGAGACTTGAAATCCAATGGAGCAGACGAACTCATGAAAAGTCTCGTTCCATACGCGCGATGCTTGTTTTAGTCCGTAGATCGCCTTGACCAGTTCAAAGCAGTCAAAGTCTTCATCAACTTCGACTCCTTCTGGGATCGCGCAGAATACCTTTTCCTTCATTTCTCCGTAAAGGAATGCTGTCACCACGTCCAGTTGGTCCAGTGTCCAGCCAAAGTACTTCGTGATTGCAACCACCATGCGCAGCGTCACGTACTTGACTACCGGCGAAAACGTTTCCGTGTAGTCGATGCCATATTTCTGCTTGAACCCTTTTGCCACGAGGCGCGCCTTGTATTTCTCGATGGATCCATCAGCTTTCCGTTTGATCTTGAATACCCACTTGGTGCCAATGGTATGCTGTCCAGACGGCAGTTTGGTCGCTCGAAACACGCCACGAAGTTTCATCGAGTCCAACTCGGCACAGATTGCCTTACGCCAATGCACTTGATCTGGTCCACCAACAGCATCTCCAAACGTTGTCGGCTCAGACAAGTCAGTACCTTCGACTGCATTGGCACTCGCTCGCCAAAAGACTTGAGGTGTAGCATTCTCGTTATCTTCGTCACTGCCCTTTTGCTCTTCGTCCAGATTGTCTCGAGCGCTTGATCGTCGCTTCGCTTGGTGCGATTCAGAGTCATCCGGGGCTATTGAGGGTTACCGGTACAATCCGAACCTAGCGCGTAGTTCTTACGAGATAGTTTTTACATCGGTAATTACCTCAGAGATGATTAGACGCGTAGGATGATTGGACGCGTGTAAATCAGGTTGATTAGATGCACCATGTGATTGGATGCAGTCTAGGGTAGGCAGAAGTTAAGACCTATAAATCAATCACTTTCGAATCCTCCCTCAAGTGAGCAAGTGTTCTCTGCTTCGTTCTCTCCGGTCTCTCCGCTTCGTTTTCTCTTCGCCTCGCGCTCAAGTTACAACAGGTTATGAGCCCAAGCGCCATGTCGTCCAACAACACCTCGGCCAGTGTCTCCATCGATAAGTTCGATGGGGACAACTACTCAACCTGGTGTCGCTACATGCGCGGCGTGTTTCTGACGAAGTCAGTCTGGTACGTCGTGAACCGCGAAACGTCTCCAACCTTCACCGACACGCGAGCTTCCGACGAGTACGTCAAGGCGAGCAACATCGCGTTCGGGTTGATGTTGCTCCACATGGACGCCGACTACCACCATGTGGTCGACAACTGTGAAGAAGCATGGACAGCGTGGTCGCGGTTAAAGATGCTCTATGGTGGGTCGCAGAAGGCGGGACGCATCTACCTCAAGCGCCAGCTGTTCAGCATCAAGATGGCGGAAGGTGCCAACGTCTTGCACCATTGCAACGAAGTCTTGAACATCGGCGCCAAGCTCAGCAGCATCGGTGCCAAGATGGAAGACGAAGACATTGCGATCTGCTTGCTGCTCAGTCTCCCGAAGAGTTTCGAGAACGTGGTTCTGAACTTGGAGATGAGCAATGCAGAGCTGCGCACGCAAGATGTGGTCAAGGTGCTGACTAACGAGCACATCAAGCGACAAGGCGAGAAGATGACAACGGCAACGACAACGGTGAAGACTGAAGATGCGACAAAGGCATTCAGTACCGAGCGCAAGCCCTACCAATGCACATACTGCGGCAAGGTGGGGCACACGGCAGAGCGTTGCTGGACGAAGCAAAAGGATGAAAGTCGAGGAGCCCAACGCGGCGGCAATGGTCGTGGACGCGGGGCAAACAATGTCCAGTGGCGACATTATGATGAAGGCAACAGCTACGATCGAGTGGCGTTTGCAGTTTCGTTCGAATGCGGAGTTTCGACGAACAAGAATGGACCAGGAATGTGGGCCGTTGACAGCGGGGCAACACATCACATCTGCCACGACAAGTTCAAGTTTGCAAGTTTGGTCGAAGGCAATGATGGCGAGATCCTGGTGGCTGATGGCAACAAGGCGGCCATCAAAGGTGTGGGGACCATCGTGGAAAAGGTGATTCTGCCAAACGGGGAAGAGCGCGAGATCGAGATCAAGAACGCGCTCTATGTGCCCAGCATGAGCAAAAATCTGCTCTCGGTGCCGCAGATTAACAAGCACGGCAACTTCCAAGTGGTTTTTGACGGGGATACGATGTACGTCGCTCGCAAGGATTCCAATCAAGTGGTGGCAGCTGCGGATCTTGTAGACGGACTCTACTGGCTTCGCACGACGCAGCGATCGGCCAATGCGACATCACTCAGCAACGCTGTTGATCTACATGCGCGAATGGGCCATGCTCCAGTCGACGTGCTTCGCAGGATGGTGACAAGCCACATGATCAAGGACGCTCACATCCCTTCCAAGCCGAATGGATCAAGTGTGTGTCGAGGATGCCAAGAAGGGAAGATGGTCCAAAAACCATTCCCGAGCAACCGTGACAAGCGCACCTACAACACCTTCGAGATGCTCCACTTCGACATCTGCGGACCCATGGAAGAAAAATCTCTGGGTGGCAGCAAGTATCTGCTGCTGATCGTGGATGAAGCCAGCGGATGCATGAAGGGTTTTTGTCTGCATTCCAAGTCAGAGAGCGAAGAGTGCATCAAGAAGTACATCACGATGATACAGACGCAGTTCAACAAGAAGGTCAAATTTGTGCGACACGATGGAGCCCGCGAGTTTGCGACGAACTCGCTTCAAGATTTCTACGAAGTCGAAGGCATCGAGCAACAAACCACGGTGCCATACGCACATCAAGCCAATGGAACTGCTGAACGCGCGATTCGAACTATCGTCACCATCGGTCATAGCATGCTCCATCATGCCAAGTTGGACAAGTGCTTCTGGGCTGAAGCGGCAATGACGGCCGTCTATGTGAAGAACCGTTTGCCGTCACCCAAGATTCCACACAAGACACCGTTCGAGATTGTCTACAATTCTAAGCCAAGTGTCAAGCACATGCGCGTTTTTGGGTGCCAAGCATACATCTTGACCCCGAAGGAGAAACGACTCAAGTGGGATCCCAAAGCCCGGGCTGGATTGTTTTTGGGCTACGAAGAAGTGTCCAAGGCGTATCGAGTTTACGACATCGAAGCGGGGCAGGTGATGATAAGTCGCGATGTCAACTTCGATGAGTCGGCCTTTGGAATGTCGATGCTGATTTCCGATGACGATGTTGATGGCCTGGACTTCGAATCGATCGATCTTGATGATGAAGAACCGCGTCCGAGACACTTCAAACAAACAGGAAAGCGCAAGGCCCAACCCAGTCACGACAATGACGACGCAAGCATGCCCCGAGCAGTGCGCCAACGACCCGTATTGGAAGAGTCAAGTGCGCCGGATGACCTCTCTTCACGTCGAGCCAACGAAGATGAAGAAAGGAAGTCGGAGGAACAACATGACACACCGACTTCCTCCGCGTTTTGGCATGCGAGTGCAAACGCCGTCGAAGCAGCGGTCGATTTTTCGGAGCCGTCGACATTTGAAGAAGCAGTGTCTGGCCCGGACCAAGTACACTGGCGCAAGGCAATTGATGCGGAGCTCGATTCGATGAAGCTTCGCGGTGTCTTTCGTGCGGCCAAGTTACCCA